ATCTCTTATGAACAAGTATCCAATGCCAATCCCAAATCTTGTCTCCTCTGTTACCTCATTTCTGTCCTCATTCCCTTAGCCCCAAGTCCCATGGTGCCCTCTTTTCAGAAAAACTCCACAAACTCTTACGCCAGAATCCCTTCTACTTACTCCTTAACCTTTCCAGTTCCCCCATTTCCCAGTTCTACTAGAAACCTGCCCTGAGGCCTGGTGCAGTGATTCACGTCTGTAATCCCAGCACTTCAGGAGGCTGAGGTGAGCAGATCACTTGAACCCAGGAGTTTAAGACCAGCCTGGGCAACATAGCGAGACCCCATCTGTATTTTTAAAAAAGAGAAAGAAAGCAAGCTCCTTTTCCTTTTTTGAGACAAAGTTTCACTCTTGTTGCCCAGGCTGGAGTGTAATGGCATAATCTCGGCTGACCACAACCTCCCCCTCCCAGGTTCAAGCGATTCTTCTGCCTCAGCCTCCCAAGTAGCTGGGACTACAGGCGCCCACCACCACGCCCGGCTAATATTTGTATTTTTAGTAGAGACGGGTGATGGGGTTTCACTATGTTGGCCAGGCTGGTCTTGAACTCCTGACCTTGTGATCCGCTCGCCTCGGCCTCCCAAAGTGCTGGGATTACAGGCGTGAGCCACTGCACCCGGCCCGAAAGTTGCTTTTTTCTAACTGAAGATTCACTCCGTCCTATACCAGGGTTTCCTCTCCTGAGACAACCGCAGATCTACCCGAACCCATTCCCAGAGTCACACCTCCTGGCTGATGCAGAGTTCTGTGCTTCCCGCTGAAGGCCCCCACTCCCTGGGTACACAAATAACTGCTTCTGGGAACCGACCATATCTCTTGGAGACGCTCAGGTCCAGAAACATACCCCCCACTCCACTCTGAGGCCTCCAGTGAAGTCAACAGGTTTTCTTTCTCTTTGCTCCCTACAGCCTCCCTCCTCCCCATATTCGCTAAGCCAGATACATACTCCTTCTGTGCTGGACACAGGATCCTCTGTCTCCCGCCACATATTTCATCCACTTGGAATGCTACCAACTCATCTGCCCCCATCCCACCCGCAGCTACCCCGGTCTCCAAAAAGCCCACAGTTAGCTCTAGACCATTCAGCAGCAGCCTCAGAGTTATTTGTCCTCAGTCTTCTTAGCTCTAGACCCCCAGATCCTTTGTCGAGGGAAAAATCCTCTCCCCCGCTAGCCTCTGGACACCAGGGCTCCCTATACCTCTTCTAGAAGCCAACCAGAAAGTCCCCAGATCTCCCAGCACCAAATGTCCAGGCTGTGCCTGCTTCAAGGGTGGCCTTCCAGCCCCGGAAGAGAGATGGGGGTGCCCCCTCGTTCCATCTCCCGCAGCCCCTAAATGCTCACCAGCCAAACTCCAAAGCACTGAGTCCATTAGACCCTCCCCAGCTACAGACACCAGCGCCTCCACCTCACCCACCCACCCCCGAAGCAAATAGGAGAACTCCCAGGATCGCATCCAGCGGCATACTCCAGGATTCTGCTTCCTTAAAACTCTCGCAGCCCCGCACACCTGGACATTCTTTCCCCACCCTGGAAACACGGCTCCCCACCCCCCAGCCCACACGCTGGGCTGGCAAGGCCGCCAAGCCCAAGGAGCTCCGAACCCCAGGATCCCCATTTTCGAGACCCAACCCAAATGGAAAACCTCTTGTTCTTCCGACTCTCTTCGGCTCCAGAAACCAGTTTCCGGTCTCCGATCCCTACGGTAAGGAATCCTCCCCGCCACCCCCGTCCCTCACCTCCGAAACCCAGAGGCCCCTCCCCCAGTGTCCCCCCTGCACCGAGCGTCTGGATCCACCCTCCGGTCGTGCCGGGGCCCTTGTCCCCAGATCCTTTTCGGCGGCGGGTAGCGGGATCCCCCGATCCTCAGGTCGTCTCCCCGACCTCAGGCGCTGGACTCCCGCGTCCCACAGCCCTTTCCTCGGCCCAGGCTCCGGGCTCCCCGGCCCCCGCCCCGCGCACTCTCACAATGTCCGTCCGGCCCCGAGTAGCCGCCGGGCTCCGCGTGCGGCTGCAGCCCGGGCGGCGGTGGCTGCGCGGTCCCCTCCAGCTCGGAGCCCCCCTCGGTCTCGACCTCCTCGTTGATGTGCCCGGGTCGCCCCGGTTCGTCGTCGGCCTCGAGCTCCCGCTCGTCGTCAGGCTCCTCGGCCTCCAACGCCGCCTGCAGCCGCTCAGCAAGCTCGGCCTTGAGGCCTCGAGTGTCCAGGCCGCGGCGCTGCAGCTCCTCGCGAAGTTCGTTCACCTTCAGACGGCGCACATCCATGGCCCGGGCCCCCGGGGTGGCCCCCGAGCCCGGCCCGGCCTCCCAGGGCTCTGTCCCCCTTAAACCTTTCCTGTCAGGAGGCGAAGGGGGAAAGGGGGGGGGGCCCACTCCAATGGCGGCGGCGGCTCAAAATGGCCGCCGCCACCGCCTCCCCCTTCACCCGTGCCTCGTCCGATGTAATACGAGTGCCAATTGGTCAGTGCATGGGGCAACGGGCGCGGGCCCGGAAACCTAGCCAATCAGAGTGCGGTTTTCAAAACAACGGCAACGAGAAGGCCTAGGAGCTACCGGGTAGGAAGCGTTGGCCTACGTCGAAGCCGAGGCCGGAGCGGAGGGCGGGAAAAGGCAGGAGGCGGAGCGTGCGCTGATTGGGTAACTCTCGCGCGCCGGCTGCAGTAAACCCCAATGAAAATAAGGGAGTAACGCTTTGGACCAATCAGCGGTGAGATCTCAGAATGAGCGTCCGACGGCCTTTCCTGCGTAGTCCTTTCATCAAACTAAGTGTCTCTGTAACACACATTCCGATTGGTGTACATCTCCCGCCCCTTGAGGAGTCCGAGCGGTAAAAACACTAGAACCAATCAAATGGAGGGTCGTCAGAAACCCCTCCTTCCTGTTGCCTTTAAGAAACCGGAAAGAGATGAATTCACCAGGGGCCCGCCCCTTGCCGTTAGGGCGGTTTCAAAACAATCTGTCCACCAATCGCAGTTATTGTCTTAGCTCACTAAAGCTTAGAGATGGCTCGTTTTAGGAAAAGTGCCCCAGATTGGCCGTGCTTCAGAGGACTGCCTCACAAATTTCGCTGTAGGAGGAGATATTCGAAATAGATATTAAGTGTATATACAGTTCGTAATCTGGAAGGAACCCAGTTGCCTTTAGTAAAAGCAAAATTTTGAGTTTAGAGAGTCCCGAAGGTTTGGCTATAGAGACTAGACTAACAACGGGAGGCTAGCTGTAAAGGACACGGCCTCCCCTTCCCTTGGGTAGTCCGCGGCGGCCTTGCTCTATGGTCGGTGCCTGACGTGGAACGGGCGCTCTGCACGCGACCATAGAGCCTTCCCCTTACGAAAGACATCCAGAAGTTCACCGACCGCCCTCTGCAATCCTCTAATCGGCTGTTCCCGTAAATCGGGCTGTCTGGCGTCTGTATTGACAAGCTCAAACCCACGGATCCGTCATTAACCTTCGCGCTCATGAATACAAAAGCCACAGAGTTTCCCTGTGTCTAATGCTGCACCACCTGTCGCCTCTAACTCAGAAAACAAAACTCGAGTAAGACGCAATCGGGATACATGATGCAGACGCCCACTGCCTCCTGAGCCACACGTTAAGCCCGCAGAAGCCACACACCATTTCTACTTAGACAAAGGCACACCCCGCAGACGTAAACAAACAGGCGTGCGTCAGATCAGACGCATCCAGTTCTTTTTTTTGTTTTTTTTTTTTTTCTGGGACGGAGTCTTGCTCTTGTTGCCCAGGCTGGAGTGCAGGGCCTCGATCTCAGCTCACCGCAACCTCCGCCTCCCGTGTTCAAGCGATTCTCCTGCCTCAGCCTTCCGAGTGGCTGGGATTACAGGTCCCCGCCACCGCGCCCGGCTAATTTTTGTATTTTTAGTAGAGAGGGGTTTCACCATGTCGGCCAGACTGGTCTCGAACTCCTGACCTCAAGTGATCCGCCCGCCTCGGCCTCCCAAAGTGCTGGGATTACAGGCGTGAGCTACCCTGCCCGGCCCCAATTCTGATCTGCTTTGGGTAAGGTACCGAGCTGCAGTGTAGAGCTGCCCACTAAGGTCCGCAGAGGCAGGCGGCATCGAATGATAAAGATAACACAGGATAGTTGCACTACAAGCGAACACTACAGCAACCCAGACACACAGCACCCACTCAGCAGCGGGACAGACACTCACGTGGGCCCAGAGGTTCCAGTCCAGACACCCCGCCCCTCGCCCACGTCCGACTTCCTCTCTCTCTCCTCCCAGCTTCCCACAATGATTTGTTCTAAAAAAGTTTGTGGCCCGGATTGAACTGTCCCCGGTTCTCAGGAGTCGCCACTGGAGGGCGTCCGGGCGCTGCCAAGGGTTTCGCCATTTGCTGCCGGCCACGCCCGCGAACGCCTGCTCGCGAGTGCGTGCCAGACACGGTGGGTTGGTCTTGGCTGGAGGCCCCTTGTGGGTCCGTGATGGTCGAAGGTGTTCTGTGCCTGTGTTTCTATGTCAGTCTGAACGTTCGGGGCTGTGAGTACCTGTTGTAATCCCACGTCTCTTGAGTATTTGTGTCACTTGACTCTGGGTCTGTGTCTCTTCCTATTCGTGGCAGGTATCTGCCTGAGCATGTTTGTAAATATGTTTGTGTCTGTGTAATTCTGTGTGTCTGTGTTACTCTGTGCATCTGAATTTCAGTCTTTGTATTTGTGACCAGGTCCTCCCGGGTGTGTCCATTAATTCATGTGTCTGTTACTTTGCCTGGGGACAGGTGTGTGTATGTCTGTGATGCTGGATCCGTATGCCAGTTCCTCACTGGGCGTTTCTGAGAGCCTACGTCTCTTTGCTTGTGTGTCTTTTTGTCTATCTGTATGTTCATCTCAACCCTCTTTAGTGAGGAGAGAATTCCAAGACCCCACCAAGCCTTCTTTTTTCTGATGGGGGAAAGTGAATTGCCAGGGAATGGGGCCACATCACAGCTAAAAGGAGACAAGAGGAGACAGAAGCTCATTGATATACAAAGTTTTATGTGACCTGAGCCCCTCTGAAGGCACCAGAGTCCACACTGTATACTCAGAAGATGAGGGATTGGCTCAGGGGGGCAACATAACCCGGAAGGTGGGAGATCATCCATCCCCTGCGGGAAAGGAGGCATCCCTAATGCATTGCACAGGCTTGAAGGGGGCACACCCCCACAGGAGGGGAGGAGGAAGCAATGATGGCTAAAAAGGAGAGGGGCATCCCAAAGAATACTACAGTATAGGGTTAGAACCTTGGAATTGCACTTAATAGTCTAGACCTGTGGACCTTTAGACTCTTAGAAACTTAGAACATTTGAGCCTTAGAACTACAGTGCTTAGAACTATAAGATTTTAGAAATGTGGATTCTTGGATGCTTAACCATGGTCCTAGAGAGGCAGAATGCAGCAAAGAACCTAAAGGTGTCCAACATTAGAAATGATTAGAACTTGGTGTCTAGTTAGTCACAACTGAGTGTGAGAGTCTTATAACTTAGATACTTAGGATCCAGAATCTTGGACCAATGGAATCTAAAGTGCCTTGAAACAGAACAAACCATTAGAATCTTATTTAATCGTCTAGAATCTTGGAGCATCTGATCTAGAATCTTAGACACAGAGAATCTAAGATCTTAGAGTAAGTCTGAGAATATCACATCTTAGAACATTGGACCTTAGAAACTCCATCTTTAGACTCTTAAAACTTTTGAATTACAGATTCTAGAGCTTTTGACCCTTAGGATGTAAGATCTTATACAAGAGAATCTGTTATCATAAAGCCTCAGAAACTATAATTGATCATCATTAGAATCTTAGAACTTGAGAAGATAAAATTTTGAAGGCTTATGGTCTAGAGTCTTACAGCCAGAGTATCTAGACTCTCAGAGCCTTAAAACATCATATTTTAGAACACTAGGCCTTAGAACCTCCATGTCTAGAATTAAAGAATCTTTAGAATCTAGAATCTTACATTCTAAGGACTCTGAACCCTAGAAAAATAAAAATCTAGAATCATAGAGCCTTAGATCCTAAAATCAGAATCTTAGAGCTTTAAAACCTAAAACCTTGAGGCCTTATCAAAAATATTAGAACCAGAAAATCTAAAACCACAGAATCTCAAAGCCTTAGAATAGTAGGTCTTAAGGTTGAGTGCAGTGGCTCATGCCTATAATCCCAGCACTTTGGGAGGCCGAGGTGGGTGGATCACTTGAGGTCAGGAGTTTTAGACCAGCCTGGCCAGCATGGTGAAACCCTGTCTCTACTAAAAATACAAAAATGAGCCAGGTGTGGTGGCGGGTGCCTGTAATCCTGGCTACTTGGGAGGCTGAGGCAGGAAAATCATTTGAACTTGGTAGGTGGAGTTTGCAGTGAGGCAAGATTGCACCACTGCACTCCAGCCTGGGCGACAGAGCGAGACTCTATCTCAAAAAAAAAAGAAAAACAAAAAAATAGTAGGCCTTAAAACCTTAGCATTTTAATGGAATTAGAGACTTTGGAATTTCAGGTCCTTAGAACCAAAGACTCATAGCATCTTTGAAACCTAGAACCTTTGAATCTAGACTCTTTAAACCTTAGACTCTAGAGTCTTGGAATGTTAATACCTGGGAGGACTTCACATATTGCAATCCAACCCCTTCCTTTTACAGATGGTGATGCTACTGCTTTCAAGGTGATGCTACTGTACAGAGAAGGGGAGGGACCTGTCTGGGATGGAGGTGGGATAGGTAGGAAGATAGGGCTTCAGGTAGGGATAAGGCCTGGGGTGGGAAAGTGGGGAGGTGGAGTTTCCCCCAGTGGCAGTGCCTAGCTTGGATCCTGAGAGGGAGTCGCAGGTGGAGGGTTGTCTCAGGCGCCATCCTCCTGCCCTGGGGCTGCTGGGGAACCCCTATCAGCAGGCTGAGCGGGGCTAGGGGCTGTGGAAGGGCAGAGGACATAGCGTCCAGCAGGATGGACCTCAGCCGAAGTGAGGCAGCTACAGGAATCCTTAGGGTCTGGCTGGGTTGGGGGGTCAGCTCCTCCAGCAGCTCCAGGAGGTTCAGGATAACCTCCACCCTCATCCATGTTGACATAGAGGATTTCGTCAGGCTCCTGGGCAGGAGGCAAGGCCTTCAGTGTGTTCTCCAAATCTTCCCGCAGCTCTGTAAAACTTGGCCGGTCCTGGGGATTTAGCTCCCAGCACCGTGACATCAAGGCATACCTAGGGCAGCAAAACGAGGGTTGGGAGATTGAGCAGGGACTCAGAAGGGGGGCATTCTGGGAGCCTGGGGACATTTTAGGACACTCAGGGGACTGGGGGCATTTTAGGGGACTGGAGGGAGCCTCAGCAGTTTGAAGCCATCTCTGGGGATTTGGGAATTCCCAAGAGTTTCTGAGTTGGGTCCTGGGAGTCTCAGGAGCTGGGAAGGGTCTTGGGAAACCTGTCTGGGTATGGAGTAGTATTCTGATGAGGGTTTGCTAGAACAGACTTTCCCAGCTCCCCAGAGCAGACTTGCATCAAAGCCTGGCTATGCCTCTTACAAGCTGTGCTGGTTTAAAATAGATCCATACATTCTTTGACCCTCCTCCCCGCAAAAGATGGAGAATAAATCGTCTCCTCTTGAGCATGGGCAGGACTTAGTGACTTGCTTCTGATTTGGCAGAAGCAATGGCTTGTGTGACTTCTGAGACTAGGTCATAAAAGGCGTGCAGCTTCCTCACACTTTGTCTTGCCGTGTTGTGAGTAAGATCAAGCAGTGCCACAAAGGGGTCCACCTGGCAAGGAACTGAAGCCTCCTGCCACAGCCATGTGAGTAAGCCACCTTGAAAGCAATCTTCCAGTCCCAAGCTTCAGATGACTGCAGCCCCCAATGATATCTTTGTAACTTCATTAGAGATCCTGAACCAAAATCACTCTGATAAGCTGTTCCCAATATCCAACTTTCAGAAACCATGGGAGATAATAAATGTTTGTTGTTTTAAACTACTCGATGTGGGGATATAGATAATAAACACACCAGCTGTGCAACCTTTGACAAATAAATCGCCCTCCCAGACTGGGCACAGTGACTCACGCCTGTAATCCCAGCACTCTGGGAGGCTGGGGTGGGTGGATGATGACGTAAGGATATCAAGACAATCTTGGCTAATGCAGTGAAATCCCATCTCCACTAAAAATACAAAAAAAAAAAAAAAAAAAAAAAAAATTAGCTGGGCGTGGTGGCATGTGCCTGTAGTCCCAGCTACTTGGGAGGCTGAGGCAAGAGAATCGCTTGAACCTGGGAGGTTGCAGTGAGCCAAGATCAAGCCATTGCACCCCAGCCTGGGCGACAGAGCGAGACTCGAATAAATAAATAAAAATAAATTACCCTCCCTGTAGGACTGGGTTTTCTCATCTGCAAAATGGGAATCGTAATGATACCTCTCTACACCATATGGCTGTGGTAAGGACCAAATGATCTAACACATGCCAGGCACCTAAAACAGTGCCTTCTAGTCAGTTCTATAAAAATATTAACTGTTGGCCAGGCACGGTGGCTCAAGCCTGTAATCCCAGCACTTTGGGAGGCCGAGACGGGCGGATCACGAGGTCAGGAGATCGAGACCATCCTGGCTAACACAGTGAAACCCCATCTGTAGTAAAAAATACAAAAAACTAGCCAGGCGAGGTGGCGGGCGCCTGTAGTCCCAGCTACTCGGGAGGCTGAGGCAGGAGAATGGCGTGAATCTGGGTGGCAGAGCTTGTAGTGAGCTGAGATCCGGCCACTGCACTCCAGCCTGGGCAACAGAGCGAGACTCTGTCTCAAAAAAAAAAAAAAAAAAATTAACTGTTATTTTTACTCCTCTCAGCTCTTGGAGTACCAAGGTGGACTGAGGAGTCTAAAGCCCCAGGCTGTCTCCTCCTGACCCAACCAGCCTCCTCTCTTTACCCTCAAAGTGCTGGCTAAATGTCACGGCCTTCTCCGCATGCGCTAATATTGCAGAGTTTGATAAGCATTCCCTAAAGGATCCTGCAAACATCTCAGAGGAGACCTGAGTCTGGAGAAGGTCAATAAAACAAACTGGAGGGTTTTGCAGAGAGTCTGGGTGTTGAGGAGCAGGTGGGGGAAGCATGGTGTGCTCAGGAGTCTGGAATGAGAAGTCTCTGGGAGTGCATGTTCCAACGGCAGGGCCGCCAGGTTAAGACTGTGCTGTTCTTCACTACGCAAGGATACCTGGCTTGGGGGTGGGGAGCCAGGGGACTGATTCAGCCCACATTCCAGACACAGACAAAGGAGGAAAGGGTGCCTTTGGCTGACTTGCACCCCACTGGCCAGTGGTGGCCCTACTCAGAGCATTGGTGAGGGGCAAGTGGGTCATTCAGCATTCTCACGGATTCTGTCCGGGTTATAGAGAGTACTAGACCTGTGAGGGCCATGTGGGGGTAGTCAGGGGTTTGGAAGGAATTCTGGGTTGGGGGAAACCTAAGGGTCCTCACAGTCCATCCAGACAGTCCGCAGGCTGCTTCAGGCGATTTCCCTGGCGCAGATAGTCATAAATCTCGCTGTTCTCCACGCCTGGATATGGGGTTTGGCCTCTTGTGGCAATCTCCCACATTGTCACCCCGAAGGACCACTGTGAGGGGCAGAGGGGAGGGAATTAGATGGTCTCTCCTGCACAGAATCACCCGCCCCAATACCCAGGTTCATGGGTACACCCACACTTATGTACGCATGTTCACAACCATCTTCTGGGAGCGTCACAAGTATTCACAGAAACATAATACTTTAGCTGGGTGCGGTGGCTCACGCCTGTAATCCCAGCACTTTGGGAGGCTGAGGTGGGTGGACCGCCTGAGGTCAGGAGTTTGAGACCAGCCTGGCCAATATAGTGAAACCCCATCTCTACTAAAAATTCAAAAATTAGCCAGGCGTGGTGGTGGGCGCCTGTAATCCTAGCTACTCGGGAGACTATGGCAGGATAATCGCTTCAACCCGGGAGGCAGAGGTTGCAGGGAGCCGAGATCATCATGCCACCGCACTCCAGCCTGGGTGACAGCATGAGACTCCATGTCAAAAAAAGAAAAAAAAAAGAAAAGAAAAGAAAAAAAAATATATATATGTAAAGTATTTGACACAGGTATACACATGAATAAGTAACTTTTGTGGATGCATACACATGCTCACCATCACACGCATATACACACTTCATGGACACATGAGCTCATGTGCCACTCTGCACACCCTGGCTGTCCACATTCTACGAGTGTGTGCACATGCACACATAATCACTGCAGCTTCTTCTAACCTAAACTGTCTACACTGCTACCATGCACACGTGGGCCTGTATTTATCCTGGGCATGTATACACCACTGTTCAGAGATGCCCACCATACTCCAAGACATGCCTAGCCCATGTAGACAAGCCCCTGCAAAGGGAAGCCCACATGTCCCTGTGACCTTTGCAGCCACAGCCGCCCAGGCATAGTGTGTGATGGTCAGGCCATGCCCTCCCATGGCTCCCCACTCTTGGTGGAGATGCACGTACCACATCACTCTTGCTCGTGTAGACACGGTCAGCTAGACTCTCAATGGCAATCCACTTGACTGGCATCTTGGCGATACGTCCCTGGCGGTAGTAGTCCCCATTGTAGATCTTCTTGGAGAGCCCGAAGTCCGCCACACACACGGACATGTTCTCATTCAGCCTGTTTGGATTGGGGAAAGGAACAGGGTCAGGGCATCAGTCACCTCCACCAGGAAGCCTGCCCCGGCTCTCAGACACATCTGCACCTCCTCCCCTCACTGTCCTGGCTGCAGGGTGGGGATATGTCTCCCAAATCTTCACCCCATTCCAGAAGGGAACTGCTTTACTTCTTGTTCACTCTGTCAAATGAGGATGGGACAAAGGGCTTCCTCAGGCCTTCCCAACTTTGGCTCTTTGCTAGATTCTAAGGTCCTTCCTTGGGTTTGATTCCTTGATGAAAAAACTTTTTTTTTTTTCTTGAAGTATACTGTACATACGGAAATGTGCACAAGTCGTAAGTGAGCAGCTCACTGAATTTTCACACACACACCCATGTAACCAGCACCCAGATTAAAAAACAGAACATGGCTGGGCACGGTGGCTCAAGCCTGTAATCCCAGCACTTTGGGAGGCCAAGGCAGGTGGACCACTTGAGGTCAGGAGTTCGAGACCAGCCTGGCCAACATGGTGAAACTGTTGTCTCTACTAAAAGTACAAAAATTAGCCAGGTGTGGTGGTGCACACCTGAAATCCCAGCTACTTGGGAGGCTGAAGCAAGAGAATCAGTTGAACCCAGTAGGTGGAAGTTGCAGTGAACTGAGATCGTGCCACTGCACTCTAGCCTAGGCAACAGAGCAAGCGAGACTCTGTCTCAAAAAAAAAAAAAAAAAATGGCCAGGCACAGTGGCTCAAGTCTGTAATTTCAGCACCTTGGGAGGCCAAGGTGGGAGGATCACTTGAGGCTAGGAGTTCAAGACCAGCCTGGAAAACAAAACAAGACCCTGTCTCTACAAAAAAATTTAAAAATTAGCTGGACATGGTGGCACATGTCTGTAGTCCCAGCTACTTAGGAGGCTGAGGCAGAAAGATAGCTTGAACCAGTAGTTGGAGGCTACAGTGAGCTATGATCATGCCACTGCACCCCACGCTAAAGGACAGAGTAACACTGTCAAAACAAAAAAGAAAAGAAAGAAAGGGAAAGAAAGAGAGGGAGGGAGGGAGGGAGGAAGGAAGGAAGGAAGGAAGGAAGGAAGGAAGGAAGGAAGGAAGGAAGGAAGGAAGGAAGGAAGGAAGGGAGGAAGGAAGGAGAAAGAAAAGAAAGGAAGGAAGGAAGGAAAGGGAAAGAAAGAAAGAAAGAAAGAAAAGAAAAGAGGAAAGAAAAAGAAAATCCATGGGACAGGACGTTCATACGATGGAATACCATACCACACAGCAAAGAAAAAGAGCAAACTACTCCTACACAGATTCATCTCAAAAACATCATGCTGAGCCATAGAAGCCAGACACAAAGCAGTACAAACTGCATGATCCCATTTGTATGACTTTTCAGAACAGGCGAAACTAGCACTGAGCAGTCAGGATAGTGGGCACCACTTGGCGGTAGTGATTGGGAAGAGGAAGAGGCATGAAGGAGCCTGCTGGGGCTAAGAAATATTCTTTACCTTGATCTAGTGGTTACATGGGTCTATACCCATAAAAATTCATCGAGCTGAGCTTGCACATATACAATGTGTATATTTTAGTGTATGGAAAATACACACCAATTTTTTTGGAGATGGAGTCTTGCTCTGTTGCCCAGGCAGTAATGAAGTAATAGCATCATGGCTCACTTCAGCCTCAACCTCCTGGGCTCAAGCAATCCTCCCACCTCAGCCTCCCAAGTAGCTGGGACCACAGGCGTACACCACCATGCCCAGATAATTTATTTTTTGTAGAGGCAGGGTTCACTATGTTGCCCAGGCTAGTCTTGAACTCCTGGGTACAAGTGATCCTCCTGCCTCAGCCTCCCAAAGGGCTGGGATTATAGGTGTGAGCACCTGGCTCGGCACCTGGCCGAGACTAATATTCTAACTCTGTGGTTCCATTCCCTCCACCCTCTACCCTCCCCTTACCCTCTATTATGGCTTTTGGGGGATTTATTGTTCTTTTTTTCTTTTTTTTTTTTTTTTTTAGATGGTGTCTAACTGTTGTTACCCAGGCTGGTCTCAAGGCTCAAGCAATCCTCCCACTTCAGCCTTGGGAATGGCTGGGATTACAGGTTACTATTTTCTTTTTTCTTTCTTTCTTTTTTTTTGAGACAGAGTCTCGTTCTGTCACCCAGGCTGGAGTGCAGTGATGTGATCTTGGCTCATTGCAACCTCTGCCTCCCGGGTTCAAGCAATTCTAGTGTTGGGATTACAGGCACACACCACCACACCCGGCTGAATTTTGTATTTTTAGTAGAGAGGGGGTTTTGCCAAGGCTGGTCTCGAACTCCTGGCCTGAAGTGATCCACCCGCTTCGGACTCCCAAAGTGCTGGGATTATAGGCTTGAGCCACCGTGCCCTGTCTGGCATGTTTTCTGCTTGTCCATTGGTGGGGAGTTTGGTTTCTTTATACAGTGTGGCCGCTTCCAAAGGGCAGCCCCAGGCAAGACACCCAGCATGGGGCGGGACAGAGATGGGGCTCACATGTCCCCACCCCCATTGGTCACCTCAGCCCCTTTGCTCACCTCATGCTGTGCACTGAGCCCACCTTCTGGTCTCTTCCCTCTCCGCATCCAAATGTTCCTTCCAGATCTCAGTTCAGGACCCACCTCCTCCAGGAAGCCTTCCTAGACCACCTTACTGACTTTCCTGGTCCTGAGTTCTGACCTGCCTTTCGTGGGTATGTAGCCCCGCTTCCATCCTAAAAAGGAGGGAGGGAGCTCCCTCAGGGAGTGCGGGAGCAGCGTGGGGGTGTCCCTGAAAGGCACTCACATGCAGTTCCTGGCCGCCAGGTCCCGGTGTATGAATCTCTTGGTACTCAGATATTCCATGCCACTGGCGATATCCGCCATGAACTTCACTAGCATCTGAGTGGGCAGGTACTGGGGAGCCAAGTCAGGTGGGAGGAGAGGTCAACAGAGTCCCTGATGTGATCCCTCCTCCCTCTATCCCTTTGTGCATGCCTAGCTCTGCCCGAATTGGTTTCCCATGGCCCTGACAATTCAACCCAACCCCTCTCCATGGCCTGCAAGGTCCTATAAACTTGCTCCAGCCTTCCCTTCGGACTTGATCGCCTATGTTCTTGCCCTTGACTGACACTCCCCAGACTCCCCTCTGGTCTTCAGACAAACAATGATCATTCCCACCTCCGAGCCTTTGCCTATGCTGTGCGCTCTGTTGGGATTGCTTCCTGCCCAGATCTCCAGACATCCCCCCAGCCCCAACTCCTTCACAGTCACCTCCTCAGCAAGATCTTCCACGTCCACCCAAATTCACTGCCTGGCCTCCTTATCATCCATCCTAGTGTATTTCCTTCCTAGCACTGGAACACTTAAATCATCTCGCTCAGGTATTTACTAGCTTGTTTATTGTCTGCCCCTCCCCTGCTGGAAGACATGCTCCAGGAGAGTAAGCTCCTGGTCACCATGGTCTTCCCAGGGTCTGAGCAGCCCTGGGTACCTGATAGATACTCAGTTAATATTTGTAGACTGGATGACTAAATGCCCCTTACCACTGGCTGGTCCCCAAGCCGGGAATAGAGGAGGAAGCTGTGTAGGTCTCCATGCTTCATGAAAGGTAAGATGACCACAGGTGCTGGAAAGCTCTCTCGTTCAGAACCCTGGAAACAGACACCTGAGCCCCCCAGATAGCCCTGTCACTCCTACTGGGCAGAAGGGGAAGCCAAGCCCCCCTCCCAGCCAGCCTCCAGCGTCGCCTTCTCACTCCCCATCCAATCTGGCCACCATATTGTCTAGGGGGTAGTGGTGGTGGCAAGGACCGAGCTGCAGAGAAGCCGTTTCCAGCAGAGTTCCCAGGGACGTTTCCGGAGCCCTCCTGGGGACCTCAGCTATTTCTGGGACTGGTCAGAGGTCACATTCCAAGCTGAGGGAGAGTAGGAGGGGGAAGCTTGCTGACCCTGAAGGAGCGGGGAGCAGGAAGCCTGGAAGTTTGATCTTCCCATGGCCAGAAGAAGGGGTCTTCCCTCTGCTATGGCCCCCATGGGGCCTGTAGACCCCTTGAATCTGCTCCTCTCTCACCGATGAGCCTCATGACATTGGGATGGTCGAATTCCTTCATGCAGACTGCTTCACTCAGGAAATCCTCCAGCTCTGACCTTGTGCAGATGGCAACTTGAGGGAGAGAGAAAGGTGGGTGTGGTGGAGGGGAGGAGAGGGAGGACTCTCCCTCCACCTCCTCTCCATCATCATCATCATCATGATCATCATGATCACTCATCTTCATCACACATGATTAGTAAGTACCAGGTGCCGTACTCAGCACTTTATGTGTGTGTGTATATATATATATAGAGAGAGAGAGTGGGTTTTTTTGTTTGTTTGTTTTGTTTTGTTTTTGAGATGGAGTCTCACTCTGTCGCCCAGGCTGGAGTGCAGTGGTTCGATCTCAGCTCACTGCAAACTCCGCCTCTCGGATTCAAGCAATTCTCCTGCCTCAGCCTCCTGAGTAGCTGGGACTACAGGTGCATGCCACCACCCCTGGCTAATTTTTTGTATTTTTAGTAGAGACGGAGTTTCACCGTGTTAGCCAGGATAGTCTCAATCTCCTGACCTCGTGATCCGCCCGCCTCGGCCTCCCAAAGTGCTGGGATTACAGGAGTGAGCCACTGCGATTGGCCAACTTTGTATATATTTACTCATTTAATCTTCTCAGGTGCTACTATTATCATTCCCATTTTATTGTTTTGTTTTTTGTTTTTGAGACAGGGTCTTGTGCTGTCACCCAGGATGGATGTGATCACAGCAATCACAGCTCACTGTGGGTTCAAACTCCTAGGCTTGCCTTCCTGAGTAGCTGGGACCACAGGCACGCACCACCATCCCGGATATACATACATACATACATATATATATATTTTATACATACATATATAATATATATATTTATACACACCTATATAATACATATTTATACATACATATATAATACATATTTATACATACATATATATATTTTTTATATATATATATATATTTTTTTTTTTTGGTATGGAGTTTCGCCCTTGTCCCCCAGGCTTGAGTGCAGTGGCGCAATCTTGGCTCACTGCAACCTCTGCCTCCCCAGTTCAAGAGATTCTCATGCCTCAGCCTCCCAAGTAGCTGGGATTACAGGCATGCACCACCACGCCTGGCTAATTTTTGTATTTTTAGTAGAGATGGGGTTTTACCATGTTGGTCAGGCTGGTCTCAAACTCCCCACTTCAAGTGATCTGCCTACCTTGGCCTCCCAAAGTGCTAGGATTTCAGGTGTTAGCCACCATGCCCGGCCAATTTTTTAAGAGAGGGAGTCTTGCTATGTTGTCCAGGCTGGTCTCAAACTCCTAACCTCAAGTGATCCTTCCATCTCGGCCTCCCAAAGCACTGCGATTACAGGCATGAACCACTGTGCCTGGCCTATCTCTACTTTAAAGATGAAGAAAGCAAGACACAAAAAGGTTACAGAGTCTGCCTAAGGGAACGAACACACGGCTTGGAGGTGGAAGAGGCAGATCTCAAACCCGGGCAGTCTGGCTCCAGGGTCCACTTGTTCACAACCACCCAGGCTGCTTCCTAGTACTTCCCTACCTGCCCTGGGGACCCATACAAATATCATCCCATTTAACAGTTCAGAACACTGTGGCTCACAGAGGCAAAATGACTTGCCCAAGGTTGCACCGCTGGGATTCAGACCCAGGCCAAGACTATAACCAGTGAGAGGTTGTGTGGGAAGGATCGCTTGAGCCTCAGAGGTTGAGACTACAGTGAGCTGTGATCCTGCCACAGCACTCCAGCCGGAGCAACGAGTAAGACTCTGTCTCAAAAAACAAAAAACGTAGGCCAAGTGTGGTAGCTCATAACTGTAACCCCAACACTTTAGAAGGCTGAGGTGGGTGGATCACGAGGTCAAGAGATCGAGACCATCCTGGCCAATATGGTGAAACCCCGTCTCTACTAAAAATACAAAAATTAGCTGGGCGTGGTGGCGTACACCTGTAGTCCCAGCTACTTGGGAGGCTGAGGCAGGCGAATGGCGTGAACCCGGGAGGCGGAGGTTGCAGTGAGCCGAGATCATGCCACTGCACTCCGGCCTGGTGACAGAGTGAGACTCTGTCTCAAAAAACAAAAACGAAAAAACAAAAAACGTAAACCTGAGGCTGGGTGCAGTGGCTCACGGCTGTAATCCCAGCACTTTGGGAGGCCAAGGCAGGCAGATCACCTGAGGTCAGGAGTTCGAGACCAGCCTGGCCGACACAGTGAAACCCCGTCTTTACTAAAAATACAAAAATTAGCTAGGCGTGGTGGCGTGTGCCTGTAATCCAACTACTTGGGAGGCTGAGGAAGAAGAATCGCTTGAACTCAGGAGGGGGAGGTTGCAGTGAGCCGAGATCACGCCACTGCACTCCAGCCTGGACAGCAGAGTGAGACTCCTTCTCAAAACAAAACAAAGCAAAACAAACAAACAAACAAAAATAACCTGGTACACAGGAGGTGCTCAATAATGAATGAGTGGGTAATGACTTCATAGCCCAAGCTTTTAAGCCCTGTAGTTCCGAAAGGATCATTCTCTACTCACCCCCAGCCCCAATCTGAACCCCCTATGCTTCTCCTTCCCTGTGTGTGAAGAACTTAGCCCTGGACTTCCTCTGCTATGTAACCCTGAAATGGCTCCTGCCCTCTCTGATGATGTAAATACTATAGTCCTAGTCCACATTAACAAGCATGTCCTACTTGCCACCCTCAGCATGAAGTGCTTTGCCTCACAGCTTTGGAAGGTGGGGACATTAGGGTCCTTTTTTCCAGATGACAGGTGGGAGACTCAGAGAGGGAAAGTCATTTGCCTGAGATCGCATGGCTGGTAAATGATTCAGCCAGGTATTCCTCATTCTAGAGCTTCTCCTGCTCCACTATGTATCACAGCGGGCCAGCCCCTGAAAACTACATTTCCCTGGCTCCCTTTCCTGGTGGTTTCCTCTTGGGATTTGCCAATGGGAGGCAGGCCCTGATGGGAGACTGGCAGGTAGCGGGGAGGAAGGGAGAAGTCAGGGTATTTCACCATCTCTCTGCTTCTGGTATTCCCTTGGTGGTGGTTGTGTCTCCCGTGTGTGCATGTGTGTGTGTCAATTTTTTTTTTTTTTCAGACGGAGTCTTGCTCTGTCGCCCAGGCTGGAGTGCAGTGGCGCAATCTCGGCTCACTGTAAGCTCCGTCTCCAGGGTTCAAGCGATTCTCCTGCCTCAGCCTCCCGAGTAGCTGGGATTACAGGTGTGTGCCACCACGCCTGGCTAATTTTTGTATTTTTAGTAGAGGCGGAGTTTCACTATGTAGATCAGGCCGGCCACGAACTCCTGACCTCAGATGATCCACCTGCCTCAGCCTCCCAAAGTGCTGAGATTACAGACTTGAGCCACCACACCCAGCCATGTGTGTTTTATTTTTTTAAAACAAAGTCTCACTCTGTCACCCAGATTGGAGTGCAGTGGCATGATCATAGCTTACTGCAACCTCTGCCTCCCAGACTCAAGTGATTCTCTCACCTCAGCCTCCCAAGTAGCTGTGACTACAGGCATGTGCCACCATACCCAGCTAATTTTTTGTTATTGTTATTATTATTTTTTTCATAGAGATGTGGTTTCACCATATTGCCCAGGTTGGTCTCAAACTCCTGGACTCAAGCAATCTGCTGCCTCGGCCTCCCAAAGTGTTCTTCTGGGTTTTTAGCTCCCACAGAGCAACCTCCAACTTTGTGATACCAGCTCCTGCCTGGTGTCCCTAGCTGTGGATTCTGGTAACACCACTTGCTCCCTCTGTCCTTCAGGCCTAGGGGTGGAAGTGACTTCCTGTTGCTGCTCATCTCTGGTTTCCCTCCCTGCCCCCAGATGTTCCTTCAGCCCATTTCCTACCTTTATACTAATCTCCCCGTATTCAATTCCTTCTGTTGAAGTACCTGGCAGGGGCTCCATTGCCTATCTGGAAACACCAGAAGTTCTAGGCTGTGGCTAACTTGCTGTTAACTTTTCTACTCTCTTCTTTCTCAGGAGCATAGGGAAGGGGCTGGGGGTCCCACACATGTGCATATAACTCACTCTTCATCGTCTTCACAGCCACCTTGAGGATGGAGTCATCCTGGTTGAGCTGGCCTTCCATCACGGCTCCAAACTCTCCTGTGGGGGGCCAGAGGGAGACACTGACCTCAGACGGCCCGTGGGGACTGTATTTCCTATAGTGGGGTGGGAGTGTGGAAGTGCAGGATCTCAGAAGTTCAGAAGGATGTGTGTATGCTGCAGGGGACTCACCTTCTCCCAGAGTCTTCCCCAGGGCCACCTTGTGCCGGTCCACCATCACATCCCGCAGCTTCTCCTTCAGCTCTTCACTGATGCCCAGGCTGTTCACTGCATGCAAGGTTGGGGTGGACAGAGCCATGGGGCAGGGCTGACATTCAGGTGACATTCACCCACCAGTAGGGATAGACCCATTATTGAAACACTGATATACTTCTGCACTGATTCAAAATTAACTACTGCCCTCAGCACCCGCCACTTCCACCCCAGCTCCTCCTCCTGACCCCCTGAACCTTCTCTCAAAGGGAACTAAAGGCGTAAAGCCTGGCCACACTCTTGCTCCAGTGGGCACCCTGATGTATCAATATTTCTGTATTCAAAAATAAAACTAGCTGGGCACAGTGGTTCATGCTTGTAATCCCAGCAATTTGGGAGGCCAAGGAAGGAGGACCACTTGAGGCCAGGAGTTGGAGATCAGCATGGGCAACATAGCCAGACCCCATCTCTAAAAAAAAGAAAAATTTTTTTTGGAAACAGAGTCTCACTCTGTCGCCTAGGCTAGAGTACAGTGGCACAATCTCAGCTCACTGCAACCTCCGCCTCCTGGGTTCAAGTGATTCTCCTGCCTCACCCTCCCGAGCAGCTGGGATTACAGGCGTGCGCCACCACACCCGGCAAATTTTTGTGTTTTTTTTTTTTAAATGTAGAGGTGGGGTTTTGCCATGTTGCCCACGCTGGTTTCAAACTCCTGGGCCTCAAAAGAAAACCTATGAGGCTTATTTAATTTTTTTTTTTTTTTTTTTTTTTTTGAGAGAGAGTCTCACTCTTGTTCTCCAAGCTAGAGTGCAGTGGTGCGATCTCGGCTCACTGCAACCTCCACCTCCCAGGTTCAAGCGATTCTCTTTCCTCAGCCTCCCGAGTAGCTAGGATTACAGGCATGCACCACCACACCCAGCTAATTTTTGTATTTTAGTAGAAATGGGGTTTCACCATGTTGTCCAGGCTGGTCTCAAACTCCTGACCTCAAGCAATCTGCCCGCCTTGGCCTCCCAAAGCGGTGGGATTACAGGCGTGTGCCACCGCGCCCAGCCTGATAGATTTTTAAAACAAGAATATACAAGGTCCATCAGCTGTCAGAGTGATGGATGACATCATCCCACATCAGGGAGCCTCTGGAAAACTGCACTGAATGCTCGTGAGAGAATGAGAAAGCAGAAGAGCAAATAATGTCTTGGTAATAGTATGAAAATAGATTTGACCTTATGGTCCCCCTGCAAAAGTCTCGGGGACCACAGGGGATCAGGCTCACACCCTGAGAATGGCTGCTGTATGTTACTCAGTTAAATCACCGGAACATCGTTGCTTCTTCCTTCTCTTCTTAAATAAATGTCTTTCCCAGCCCTTTCCAAACATCCCCCTGGGGCCCTGGCGGCTTTCTCGTTGTGTGCTAGGAAGAGACCTAGCTCTTCCATTTTCTTTCTGAATTTCTGTTTCCCTAACTGAAAAATGAGCTCCTTTTTTTTTTTTGAGACAAAGTCTTGCTCTATCACCCAGGCTGGAGTGCGGTGGCCCGATCTCGGCTCACTGCAACCTCTGCCTCCCAGGTTCAAGCAATTCTCCTGCCTCGGCCTCCCAAGCAGCCGGGACTACAGACGTGCACCACCACACCTGGCTAATTTTTGATGGGGTTTCACCATGTTGGTCAGGCTGATCTTGAACTCCTGACCTCGTGATCTGTCCGCCTCGGCCTCCCAAAGTGCTGGGATTACAGGCATGAGCCACCGCACCTAGCCTGAGATTCTTTTTTTTTTTTCCTGAGACAGAGTCTCTCTCTATCGCCCACGCTGGAGTGCAGTGGCACCATCTCGGCTCACTGCAACCTCCACCTTCTGGATTCAAGTGATTCTCCTGCCTCAGCCTCCCGAGTAGCTGGGATTACAGATGTGCACCACCACATCTGGCTAATTTTTGTATTTTTAGTAGAGACAGGGTCTTGCCATGCTGGCCAGGCTGGTCTCGAACTCCTGACCTCAAGTGTCTGCCTGCCTAGACCTACCAAAGTGTTGGAATTACAGGCGTGAGCCACTGCGCCTAGCTGAAAGAAGAGATTTGACTGGGCCTCTGAGATCCCCTCCTTAGCTGAGACCTTCCATGACTTTCCAGTCTTCTAATGGAGAGTCTATAGTTCTAAGATTTTATTATTTCAAAAATATAAGGGTGTAGAGTATATGCATATAACTTTTCAGGCCAAGATCGATTCTATCTCTCTACCAATCTATAATTCCAAGAGGTAGTAGAGTGTGGCAGTGAAGAGTATAGACTTCAGGCTGGGCATGGTGGCTCATGCCTGTAATCCCAGCACTTTGGGAGGCCGAGGTGGGTGGATCATGGGGTCAGGAGTTCAAGACCAGCCTGGCAAATATGGTGAAACCCTGTCTCTACTAAAAGTACAAAAATTAGCCAGGCGTTTTGGCGTGTGCCTATAGTCCCAGCTACTCGGGAGGCTGAGACAGGAGAGTCACTTGAATCCAGGAGGCAGAGGTTGCAGTGAGCCGAGATCGTGCCACTGCACTTCAGCTTAGGTGACAGAACAAGATTCTGTCTAAAAAAAAAAAAAGTATAGACTTCAGAGCAAAAGTGCCTGGGTTCAAATTCCAGCTATCCAATTTACAAGCTGTGTGGCCTTGGGCAAGTGACTTAATCACTCTGCTCCAAAGCTGCCTCATCTGTGAAGTGAAGGTGATAAGAAACCCACCTCCAGTCAGGCGCGGTGGCTCACGCCTATTCTCCCAGCACTTTGGGAGGCCAAGGCAGGTTGATCACTTGAGACCAGGAATTCCAAGAACAGCCTGGCCGACAAAGACGGGGTTAGTAAAACCCCCTCTTTACTAAAAATGCAAAAATTAGCCAGGCGTGGTGCCATGCGCCTGTAATCCCAGCTACTCGGGAGGCTGAGGCATGAGAATTGCTTGAACCCGGGAGGTGGAGGTTGCAGTGAGCTGAGATTGAGATTGTGTCACTGTGCTCCAGCCTGGGTGACAGAGCGAGACTTTGTCTAAAAAAAAAAAGAAAAAAGAAACCCGTGTCCTTGGGTTGCTCTGAGGGTTAAATGGTACATGTAGAATGCTTAGAATGGAGCCTGCCACGTAGGTAGTGCTAGGGTTGCCTGTGATTATTATCACATCATCACCATCTAATCTCAACATTATTTCATCATCGTCATTTCTTCGTGATTGTCATTATCTTCATCATTATCATCATCATCGCATCTTCTAAGATCCAGTGGCTCTGAGGTTTGGTGTTTCTTTTCTTTCATTTATTTATTTTTTTTCTTTCTTGAGACAGGGTCTTGCTCTGTCACCCAGGCTGGAGTGCAGTGGTGTGATCATGGCTTACTGCAGCCTCGACCTCCCTGGGCTCAGGTGATCCTCCTACCTCAGCCTCCCGAGTATCTGGGACTATAGGGGAATGCCACCATACCTGGCTAATTTTTTTTTTTTTTTGGTAGAAACAGGGTTTCGCCATGCTGCCCAGGCTGGTCTCGAACTCCTGGGCTCAAGTGATCCTCCCACCTTGGCCCCCCAAAGTGCTAGGATTACAGGCATGAGCCACCACACCTAGCCTTGGTGTTTCTAAGATTTACTGTGTCTAAGATTCTATTCCTTGAAAGTTCTTTGTGGTTCCACAAATCTGTTATTTCTAGGGGCTGTGATTCTGACATGCTAGTATCCCAAGGCCTTCAGAAACGTTTGGCTGACACTTCTATAGAAGCCCAGCGGTCAGATTATCTATAGCCTTTAGCTCCAGGCCAGGGCAGTGGGGCACAGGGTTCACTTACAGGTAGCTTCAGTGGTCCGGCGACTGTAGGACTTGCGCACGCGGTACCTGACTACCAGTTCACCTCTTTCCACTGTTGGCTCGAACACTTCTCTGGGGGGGGCGGGGGAGTAGGTGAGGGCAAGGAAAAACCATGTGGAACCCCTCCCCAACCAGCAGTTGAGCAAGTACCATCTCAGCCTCAAGCCCTGCCTGCCCTCTCTGCTAGCATTTGCTGAGCATGTCTTGGACAGCTACCTTCTGCCTTCCGTTCACTCCACACACCCCCTTGCGCTCATTCTTTTTTTTGAAACAGGGTCTCACTCTGTCACCCAGGCTGGAGTGCAGTGGTGCGATCTCAGCTCACTGTAGCCTCCATCTCCTGGGTTCAAGTGATTTCTGTGCCTCAGCCTCCCAAGTAGCTGGGACCACAGGCGTGTGCCACCACGTCCTGCTAATTTTTGTATTTTTTAGTAGAGACAGGATTCGCCATGTTGGCCAGGCTGGTCTCAAACTCCTGACCTCAAGTGATCCACCCGCTTCAGCCTCCCAAAGTGCTGGGATTACAGGCGTGAGCCACCACGCCTGGCTTCCCTTGCCCTCATTCCAATTCTTGGTCATCACTCCTCCTGCACCAGCCTCCTCACTGGCCTCCCTGCCTCCAGCCTCTCCATCCCAGGCCACACAGCCTCCCCATGTGGTTCCAACTTACCCATAACGGGTCTCCTTCTTTCGCCGGTGGACAAGGAAGAGAGCCAAGATGAGGACACAGGCAGCGGCCACGACTGCTCCTAGCAGTATATACCACCAGGGCCACGAGAAGGCAGGAGCTGAAGTTTCCTTCACTATCGGGGGTACGAGGAACAGGTCATGGATGAGGCCTTGGATCCAGCTCTCTGGGACCCAAAGGGGTGATGTTGGAGGGAGGCAGAAGGCCTCAGTAAAGATGTGCACATACTTGATGAGGTGTGTGATGGATGCATTCACATATCTGAATAGGCTGGGCTGGACAGGGTATGCAATGGATGTGATACAAGTGCATGTTAAGGCAGGAGTGTGTGAAAGTTGTAGGATGGGTGAGTTGAGAGTGGGATGGAGGCCAGGTGCAGTGGCTCACGCCTGTTATCCCAACACTTTGGGAGGCCAAAGCGGGCGGGTTACTTGAGGCGAGGAGTTCAAGACCAGCCTGGCAGACATGGTGAAACCCTGTCTCTACTTAAAAGATATATATATATATATATACAAAAATTAGCTGGGGTGCTGGTGCACACCTGTAATCCCAGCTACTCAGAAACTGAGGCAGGAGAATCGCTTGAATCTGGGAGGCAGAGGTTGCAGTGAGCCGAGATCGTGCCACTGCACTCCGCCTGGGTGACAGAGCGAGACTGTATCTCAAAAAAAAAAAATAAAAAAAATAAAAAGAGAGAGAGTGCCAGCATAGCTCAGTTGGTAGAGCATCAGACTTTTAATCTGGTGGTCCAGGGTTCAAGTCCCTGTTTGGGCGTTTGTAGTTTTCCTTACTTTAAGCTACCACATATTACCCCACCAAGATCCAAAAAACAGAAGAGTGGAATGGATATTTGAGGAGTGTGCATTGAGTGTGGAATGGGAGAGAGAGATGTGTGGAACGGGTTATGAGTGTGCCAGGAGGGCTAGATGAACATGAGATGGGTGTGGAGAAGTCTCAAGTAGCATAGGTTAGTGTGAGAAATGAGATGATTGTGCAAGGAGGGTGGACTAGAGTGTAGATAAACAGGTGAGTAGGGAAGGAGATCCTTGCAGTGTAGGACGGTGCATGAAGCGTGTGCACGGAGGGCGAGCTGCGGAGGCGGAGGCTGAGGAATGAAGGACTAAGGGATATCTTTTGAGGAGAGGCCACAATGACTACAAGAAAGGATTTTCTTTCTCTCTTTTTTTCTGTTTTTTTTTTTTTTTTTTTTTTTTTTTTTTTTTTTTTTTTTGAGACAGGGTCTCATTCTTTCACCCAGGCTGGAGTGCAGTGGCCCGATCTCAGCTCATTGCAACCTCTGCCTCCCAGTTTCAAGCGAATCTCCTGCCTCAGCTTCCAAGTAGCTGGGATTACAGGTGTGCACCACCATGCCCGGCTAATTTTTGTATTATTTTTTTGGTAGAGACAGGATTTCACCATGTCTCCTGAGTAGCTGGGACTGCAGGTCTGTGCCACTTGGCTAACTTTTTTTTCTTTTCTTTCTTTTTTTTTTTTTTTATTTGAGACAGAGTCTTGCTCTATTGCCCAAGCTGGAGTACAGTGGCATGATCTTGGCTCACTGTAACCTCCGCCTCCCAGGTTCAAGCAATTCTTGTGCCTCAGCCTCCCGAGTAGCTGGGATTACAGGCTCGCACCACCACGCCCAGCTAATTTTTGTATTTTTAGTAGAGATGGGTTTTCGCCATGCTGGCCAGGCTGGTCTTGAACTCCTGACCTCAGGTGATCCACCTGTCTCAGGCCTCCCAAAGTGCTGAGATTACAGGCATGAGCCACTGCACCCGGCCACAGGGGTTTCCATAAAGCAAGGAATGAGGGTGAGATAAATATCCAAAGGGGTATGATAAGCATATACAGGGTTGAATGGCTGCTGGAAAAGTTGGGGGTGTGTGAAGTGGGAAGAGTATTCATGAAGTCTTAGATACAAGGAGTGAGCAAGGAACTTTAAGGATGTAATTGCAGTGTGACAGAAGTGTGCAGTGAGCATGCAAAAGATGTGAGAAGGGCAGATGAGGAGTATGGGGTGCACAGAAAGGGGGTATAAAAAGGGCAGGGGTGGAATGGAGTGTGTAAGAAATAAAGATCGTTATGTGCTGAGTGTGCAAGGGGTTCAGGGTGAGTGTGCAGAGAGTGAGATGGGTTGGGATTAGTGAAGGGTGAGGGAATGATGTCTATGGAGTGTGGGGTAAGCATGCAAGGAGAATCGGGTGTGGGAAAGTTGTGGACAATGTTTTTCAGTGTTTGCAATGTGGAAGGTATGGTAAGTGCATACAAGGTGTGCAGAGTTTGTGAATGAGAAGTGTGGTTGTGCAATGGGCCTTGGGATTCATGTGGGAGGAATGGATTATAATGGGATGTATGTGAAAGGAGGGTGGAATGAGCTTGGAAAGGGTATGTGAAGAAATGTAGGAAGGGATGTGAGGAGTATTGAAGGCTAGTGGGTTGAGTTACAAGAGTGGGCTGTAATAGTGCCCAGAGGAGACAATGAGTGTAGGAGGAATGTTTGAGATTTGTCAGAGAAATATTTGAGAGGGATGGATGTGAGGAGGATACCTCATTCCTCCATCCATCCACCTTTCTACCCATCCCTTCATCCATTCATCCACTCACAAATCCATCCATCTGTCCATCCATCCATTTATCCAACCATCCATCCATCCACCCATCTACCCATTCATGGATCCACTCACCACCCAGTCATCTTTTATTCATCCACCTATCCACCCCATCTATTAATCCATTGACCCACCCACCCATCCACCCTCTATATATCCATCCATCCTCATCCACCTATCCACCCCATCTATTAACTAGCTGACCCACCCACCCATCCACCCTCTATATATCCATCCATCCATCCACCCATCCATCTACCCATCCATTTATCCACTCACCATCCAGTCATTTATCTGTTCACCCACCTATCCACCCTCTATTCATCCATTGACCCACCCACCCATCCACCCTCCATATATCCATCCATCCATTTGTTCATCCATCCACCCACCTACCTGTCATTCCCTGAATACCTACAATGTTCTATGCTAGGCCATTATAGGCACCTCCATCAAGGACCACACAAACTCAAGAAGTAGGTTAGAGTGATGAGTTCGAGAAACATGAAAGGGATGTGCAATGAGTATGTATGGTGACAGCACCCCCACTAGGTGTTGAGGGGAGGGAGGGAGGAGACGGGGTGTGGAAGCCCTTACCCAGCTGGTGGACTGGCTGTGCTTGCCCTGTGAGAAGAAAGGACAGAGGAGACGTGCTCAGAGAGGACAAGACTGGCGTGGCACAGGTAAGGGAGTGAGGGTGTGGCACGGGTAAAGGAGTGAGGCCATGGCATGGGTAAGGGAGTGAGGGCGGTTCTCGGTAAGGCTCGGGGTAGGAACAGGGCCTAGGTTGCGGTAACTCTGAAAGGTACAGGGAGTAAGTCAGGGCTGTCAGGGAGAAATAGGGTTAAAGCAGATTGGGCATGGCTTTGGACTTACCTGGGCGCCAGGCCTCCAGGGGTACTGGGAGGCTCCAGGGTCCATCCCCAGCAGCAGTGTAGGCTGCCACACACACTGTCAGATTGGACACAGACCCGTCCCCCTGCAGCTCCAGGGTCACCTCTTGCCTTAGCCCTATGTCCATTAGCACCTAGGGGGTCCAGAAGTGGCATCAGGGTAGAGCCTCACCCCCAGCTGTTAAGCCTTCACTCTTGGGCTCAATGCCCCACCTCTTTCTCAAAGCCCTCTCCCCATCCTCCAACTCCTCATCCTTCCTTGTCCTCCCTTCATCTCTCATCCTCATCCTTTAACCTGTATCCCTCCATCCCCTTCTAGCTTCCCTTTCCATCCTCTCTCCCTACGTCAGGGTATTGCTAGCCTTGATAGCAGTGCCTTTGTGCAAATTGGGAAAAGGTACCCCTTCCCCAAGGTGCTATACAACTATCTGCTGTGAAATCGTTATAGTAAATACGAGTCTGCTGAAATGCTTTTGCAGTGGTTCAAAAATAGCCATTCCCCATGCCCTCCCCTAGACCCCCTTATTCTCCCCAGAATGTGAATGTGAACCTTCCCTGAACGTGCCTCTCTAGGCGTAGAGCAATTGCGTACTACCCAACGTGCACAACCGTCCATGTCTGCCCTGATATCTTCTCCTCCCTGTCTCCCTCCTCCCCCAGCCACTCCACTCCAGTCCCACCAGCAGCACCCACCTCTGGGGTGTCCTGGCCTTGATACGCCAGCCGGTACCCTAACAGGGTACCCTGCAGGGGCGCCTGGGGCTCCTGCCAATGCACGAAGGCCTGGCTCCCATTCCGCGTGGCACTAATGTTCTCAGGGGGGCCCAGGGGCACTGGAGGACAGGGAAGAGGGGAAGCTGGCACCCCCACCTCTTCCTGACCCCCTCCCCTGTTCCCAGGAAATGGGTGCAGGGTGCCAAGGGCACGCACGTGGGCAACTCATGGAGGCCTCCCATGAGCGGAAGCACAGGGGACAGAAGGGCTGGGAGAGAGGCCAGTGGGCAGTGCTGCTGAGGGGTCAGAGATTGGACGGGAAGGAGATTGAGGCCATGAGGGGTAAAGGGGTGAAAGGGGACAATGGAGGTGGCACTGATGTAAGCAAAGTCCAGTGGGGTAGTGGTGACGTCTCCCTCCCCAGCCTTTCTTACCTCCCTCCGGCGTCTCCACAGGAAGCCAGTGTGTCCAGGATGAGGGGCCCTGGCTGCTGGTGCATGCCACACGGATGTGATAAGGGGTGTGAGGATGGAGGCTGCCCAGCCGAAGCTGGTGGGGGGGCACAGAGGCTTGCAAGGTGAGGGGCTCCTCTGGGGGGTCTGGTTCTCCCGCCTGGATGCCCACCTCATTGTCTGACAGCATAGCCTGGGGAGAGGGAAGGGTGTGAGGACAGAACGACCAAGCAATCACATGAGATGGTCACACAGCTCCCAGTGGTGGTGGTTCTAGTATGACTACACAACTTTGCAAGGGTGTGTGTGTGTGTGTGTTGCAGCGCCATGCTGGGATAACACAGGCACCTGGATTTGCAAACCAAGGAGATCATTTGGTTGTATACCACGTGGTTCCAAAAGCCACCTCCGGCAAGACTCTTCCCTCTCTGATCCTCGGTTTTCTCCTCGGGCAAATGGGGCCTTAGAGGATCAAATGCCTTACAGGATTGTTTAAAGATTAAATGTAGTTATGCCCAAAGGATGCCACAGTGCATGGCGGGTGGCCAGCACCGATAATAACGATGCATATTGTGATGACAATAATAATGCAAATAGACTGGGCACAGTGGCTCCCGCCTGTAATCCCAGCACTTTGGGAGCCCGAGGTAGGCGATCACTTGAGGTTAGGAGTTCAAGACCGGCCTGGCCAACGTGGTGAAACTCTGTCTGTTCCAAAAATATAAAAAATTAGCCAGGTGTGGTGGTGCTTGCCTGTAATCCCAGCTACTCAGGAGGCTGAGATAGGAGAATCACTTGAACCTGGGAGGCAGAGGTTGCAGTGAGCTGAGATCACATCACTGCACTCCAGCCTGGGTAACAGAGCAAGACTCTGTCTCAAATAATAATAATAATAGCATGATATTGTGAGATTCCATTTATATGACATTATACTACAGGCAAAAGCATTGTTCTAGAAGCAGAAGTGTGGTCATCTCTGGGGCCTGAGGGAGCCTTGTTGGGGACTGGAAGGGTCTATGTCTTGATTTGGACGGTGGTTACATGGTGAATATGTGTATTACACAATCTCAAGGGTGTCCAATCTTTTGACTTTCCTGGACCATAGTGGAAGAAGAATTGTCTCGGGCCACACATAAAATACACTAACACTAACGATAGCTGATGAGTTAAAAAAAAAAAAAATCACAAACAAATCTCATGTTTTAAGAAAGTTTATGAATGTGTGTTGGGCCGCATTCAAAGTCATCCTGGGCCACATGTGTTAGACGACCTTGATCTAGATGTAGACTGAAGACTATGCATGTCATACGTCTCATTTCTTTTTTTTTTTTTTTTTTGGAGACAGAGTATTGCTCTGTTGCCCAGGCTGGAGTGCAGTGGCAAGATCTTGGCTCACTGCAACCTCCATCTTCCAGGTTCAAGCAATTCTCCTGCCTCGGCCTCCCAAGTAGCTGAGACTACGCACACCACCACGCCCGACTAATTGCTGTATTTTCAGTAGAGACAGGGTTTCACCATGTTGGTCAGGCTGGTCTCAAACTCCCGACCTCAGGCAATCCGCCCGCCTCAGCCTCTCAAAGTGCTGGGATTGCAGGTGTGAGCCACCATGCCTGGCCTATGAGTCCACTTCATCACCCGAGCTGGAGTGCAGTGGCATGATCTCGGCTCACTGCAGTCTCCACCTCCCAGGTTCAGGCAATTCTCATGCCTCGGCCTCCCAAATAGATGGGATTACAGGCATGAGCCACCACGTTTGGCTAATTTTTTTTTAATTATTATTTTTTAGACGGAGTCTTGCTCTGTCACTCAGGGTGGAGTGCAGTGGCATGATCTCAGCTCACTGCAACCTCCACATCCCAGGCTCAAGCAATTCTCCTGCTTCAGCCTCTCGAGTAGCTGGGGCTACAGTAATGCACCACTATGCCTGGCTAACTTTTTTGTATTTTTAGTAGAGACGAGGTTTCACCATGTTGGTCAGGCTGGTCTCAAACTCCTGATCTTAAGTGATCTGCCTGCCTCGGCCTCCCAAAGGGGCTGGGATTACAGGTGTGAGCCACCACACCTGGCTTTTTTTGCATTCTGTGCAGAAAAAGCGTTTCACCATGTTGCCCAGGCTGGTCTCAAACTCCTGACCTCAGGTAATCCACCCGCCTCAGCCTCCCAAAGTACTGGGATTACAGGCGTGAGCCACTGTGCCTGTCATGTCATATATTATCTTAATTAAAAAAGAAAAACACGTCCAACATTTACTGAGTACCATTCTTAGCCCTTGACAAATCTGAATTCTTTTGGCCTTCACATCAACCCTGTTGTCCTGTGGTAAGTATTATGCTTATTCCCACTGTACAGATGACAACACTGAGGCCCAGAGAGATGGAATCACTTGCTCAAGGTCATCCGTTTGTCAGTGATGAAGCTGGGACCTGAACCCCATCCTGTCCCCATAGTCTTCACTCTACTGGCGGTAAGAATATCAATAATGGTAATAATACCTCTTGTCTGTGCACAGAGGCAGTTTAGCCTAGTGCTGAGGAGCACAGGTGCTGGATCTGGGGCTCAAATCCAGGCTCTACCATTCCCTAGCTGTGTGCCTCAGTCTTCTCATCTGTAAAATGGGATGACAGTGGCTCCCTACCTCATGGGGTTGACTGAATTGGGGCATATAAGCATTTAGAAGACTGCTTGTGCATACGGAGTGGCATTTATTATTTTATTTATCTATCTATCTATCTATTTATTTATTTATTTGAGATGGAGTTTCGCTCTTGTTGCCCAGGCTGGAGTGCAATGGCGTGATCTCAGCTCACTGCAACCTCCGCCTCCCAGGTTCAAGTGATTCTCCTGCCTCAGCCTCCTGAGTAGCTAGGATTACAGGCGTGCACCACCACGCCCAGCTAATTCTGTATTTTTAGTAGAGACAGGGTTTCTCCATGTTGGTCAGGCTGGTCTCAAACTCCCAACCTCAGATGATCTGCCCGCCTCAGCCTCCCAAAGTGCTGGGATTACAGGCATGAGCCACCGCGCCCGGCCTGTCACTTACTATTTTATGTGTGTTTCCTGGTAACAAGTGTCAAGCTCTGCATAGCAGCACAAGTTCCCGTACCTATTCTGCCCCAGGAATGGCACACTCAGGGTGGAGGGGGCCACCGCTGGTGTACACATCTGTATAGCCCTGCCACACGGAACCACAAAACCCCCATAACCACACAACTCACAGCCACGCACCTCAGGAATGCTGCAGCCAAGGACTTCCCCTTCACCCTGGAGACCCCAGCCATACAGCCACACAGTATGTCAGGAAGGAGTTTACTGCCACAGGGTGTGGGATCTAAAGCCAGATTCCTTGGATCTAAGTCCTGGGTTGGATGCTGTTTGCTGTGTGATCTAGAGTGAGTGTCTTAACTTCTCTGAGTCTCAGTGTCTATCTCTGGAAAATGGGCATCACAGTTCCTACTTGTCAGGGTATAAGGTTTAATGAATGACATGCTGCATATAAACTGCTTTGCACGTTATAATTATCAACAGCTAACATTTGTTTTCTTGCTTTCTTTCTTTTTTTTAGGCAGGGTCTCACTCTGTCACACAAGCTGGAGTGCAGTGGTGCAATGACAGCCCCACCTAACTTTTTATTTATTTGGAGAGATGGGGTTTCACCGTGTTGGCCAGGCAGGTCTCAAACTCCTGGGCTCAAACGATCCACCTGCCTCGGCCTCCCAAAGGGCTGGTATTACAGGTGTGAGCCATGGCACCCGGCCTAGCAAACATTTCTTGAGTGCCAAATATGTACCAAGCTCCCTGTCAAGCACATTCCTGGATGAACTCATTGACTTTGCACTACCACCCTATGGGGTCAATTTCTTTTCTCATCCCCATTGTACAGACAGGGAAGCCAAGGCCCAGAGAGGTTCAGCAACTTGCCCAAAGTCACACAGCCCCCATGGGGGGAGACGACACCACCATGAGACCTGGGGAGGCCTAGGGGCAGATGGTGGGTACAAGGAGGGGGTGAGGCTGTCACCATGCCTGCTCTCTGACCCGCAGTGACAAACAGGAAGAGGAACCTCTACCAGGACAGAGGGGAGATGGGTACAGACAGTTGGTCTCCCCGTGCCTGCTCCCACTTCTCTTTTCCCTGGGACGGCTGTGACCCTCCCACTGGAACTCTTCAGCCCTAGCCTGTGTACAGCAGGAAGTGAGACCTGGAGAGGGAAGAGGACACACTTCTGCTTTCCTGGGAACACTTGGTGGATGTGGGCAGGGGTGCAGCTGATGCCTGACCTGGCATTTGAGGTCTCCCGAATCCGGCTGGCCTCTGGGATTGAATCTTAGCTTAGGCTTTCTAGCCCCGGGGAGGGGTGGAGGGTAGGGAAAGGTCACTTCCCCTCTCTGGGCCTCAGTTCCTTACCTTGAAAAAGGGAAGATTCATAGCCACTATTTTTTTTTTTTTTCTGAGACTGAGTCTCACTCTGTCAACCAGGCTGGAGAACAGACGTTCAGTCATGCCTCACTGCAGTCCTGACTGTCAGGCTCAGGTGATTGTCCCACTTCCGCCTCCCGAGTAGCTGGGACTACAGGTGCGTGCCACCACGCTCAGCTAAATTTTTTGAATTTTTTGTACAGACATGCCTCAGCCCCGTGAAGTTCTGGGATTACAGGCGTGAGCTATCATGCCCAGCCAACAGTCACTATTTTCTAGGTTTAAAATGACAAGCAGATGGGGTTGTGCTCAGGGCATGTAAGTATAAGACAATTCCTGTTTAATCAAGCACTGACTCTAAACATTTTCTCAGGGCCCGGCATGGTGGCTCACGCCTGTCATCCCAGCACTTTGGGAGGCCAAGGTGGGCGGATCACTTGAGGTCAGGAGTTCGAGACCAGCCTGGCCAACATGGCGAAACCTTGTCTCTACTAAAAATACAAAAATTAGCTGGGCATGGTAGCGGGCACCTGTAAGCTAGCTACTCAGGAGACTAAGGCAGGAGAATTGCTTGAACCCAGGAGGCTGAGGTTGCAATAAGCTGTGATCACGTCACGGCACTCCAGTCTGGGTGACAGAGCGAGACTCTGTCTCAAAAAAAAAAAAAAAAAAGAAAAGAAAAGAAAAAAACAAAAAACAGTTTATAAGGAGGTTAGGAGCATGACATGGGTTTGCTATGACCTTGGACAAGCTGGTTAACCATTCTGAGCCTTAGTTTCTTCATCTGGAAAATGGGTGTATCCATAGACCCTCCTTCACAAACACATGAGGAGGTGTGCGTAAAACTTTAATGCAAGGCCTGGTGCACAGCGGACACTCAGTAAAAGTTGGTCATTCTTCATTACTGTCATCTACCACCATAGGCACTGTCCACCCCCTATCTCCAACATTCTAATCTCAGAGAACTTCAGACCAGAATTCGGCCTGATATTTACAGATCTGTGAGTTTGGTTTTGGTTTTGGTTTTCTTCTTTCTGTCTTTTTTTTTTTTTTTTGAGACGGAAGTTCGCTCTTGTTACCCAAGCTGGAGTGCAATGGCACGATCTCGGCTCACTGCAACCTCTGCCTCCCAGGTTCAAGCGATTCTCTTGCCTCAGCCTCCTGAGTAGCTGGGATTACAGGTGTGTGCCACCACACCCGGCTAATTTTTTGTATTTTTAGTAGAAATGGGGTTTCACCATGTTAGCCAGGCTGGTCTCGAACTCCTGACCTCAGGTGATCCACCTGCCTTGGCCTCCCAAAGTGCTGGGGTTATAGGTGTAAGCCACCACACCTGGCCTGGTTTTAGTTTTCTTACTCTAGGAGCAACTTGAGGGCAGAGTCTGGGTCTAGCTCATCTGGGTTGTAATATATCCTTCTAGCAAATATTCTCTACTGTATGTCTGGTCCTGTGCTGGACAAGAATGAAGAGCCAGTGGTGACTGGGACAGCTCCAGCCCTGCCCATCAGAGCTTACATTGCAGTAGGGGACAGACCCATCCCCAGACAGTGACCACACAGAGTAGCCAGGGCTGGGATGGGAGAAGTGAAGGGTTCTGGGTACCCAGTGGTAACAGAAATGGCTCCAGACCCTGCTATCTCAGGGCTCCCACTCTGGCTAGAGTTAATATCACTAATACTGAAAATAATTTAGACAGCTGATCATTTTCATTTTGTTAAATTTGTTTTTTTGTTTTAAGACAGAGTCTCGCTCTGTCACCCAGGCTGGAGAGCAATGGCGTGATCTTGGCTCACTGCAACCTCCGCTCACTGCAACCTCCGTCTCCCAGCTTCAAACAGTTCTCCTGTCTCATCCCCCTGAGTAGCTGGGACTGCAAGCCCATGCCACCAGGCCCAGCTAATTTTTGTATTTTTAGTAGAGATGCGGTTTTGCTATGTTGGCCAGGCCGGTCTCGAACTCCTGACCTCGAGTGATCCGCACACCACGGCCTCCCAAAGGATTATAGGCATGAGCCACCGTGCCTGGCCAATTTTGTTAAGTTTGTTTCCTATGTTCGATATGCCATTTTAAGTTGGTAATTTGCATTCACTCATTGAATTTTCACACTAAGCATTCCAGGTAAGCACTACCATTATGTCCATTTTGTAGACGAGAGAACTGAGCCCCAGAGAGATTAAGCCTCCTACTCAAGCTCACACAGCCAGAAGGTGGTGGAGCTAGGATTTGAACCCAGGACATCTGGCTTAACCCCCCCAGGCTCTACTGCTTCTCAACAGTGGCAGAGAAGTGGTGGATTCCCAGGGAGAGGATGAGGGTTGTGGATGTGGGTGGAAGGAGGCCTGAGACTGAAATGAACCAAGTTTGGGCGTCTCACCTGCAGGGTGCAGTGGGTCAGGGGGTAGATGCCGCTCAGGCCTGGAGTCCAAGCCACCTCCAGCTCCGTGGGTTGGCGGGAGACCAGGTGGAGGTTACGGGGCTGCTGGGGGAGCACTGTGGACAGATAGGAGGGATTGACCCTGGGGAGCCTTTGCTCAAAGCTCCCTACCCTGCTCTCTGCCCCCACTCTGACCCCAGACCCAAGCCCTACCCTCTGATGCCCAGCTCCCCACCTCCCAACCCTGTCACCTGTGATGGTGGCCGTGCGGGATGTAGTGACCCCCTTGGCGTTATGGGCTTCGCAGGAGAAAGAGGATGTCTTGTTCAGCCCTAGGGATTCACATGAGGGAAGGGCCCAGTATCAGAGAGGGGCAGGAAGGGCTCCCAGGCCATGCCGGGCCACTCCTACCACGGCCTGCCTGACCAGGGTCAGTGCAGCCCACACAGGCACTTGCCTGAAGGGAGAGTTAGCAGAGTTGAGGGCAATGAGTTAGGAACACAGCCTCCATCCCCAAACGCAAGGATGGCTTGGCTTCAGCCCTAACCTCCCGCCACACAGCCACACATAGTACAGACACACACAGCCACACATAGGCACAGACACACACATTCTCACACACATTCTTACACCTCAGAGACACACTTATACACACACATAGACATATACTCACACAGACACACACAAAGACTCACACAGCCACACACAGGCACAGACACACACACTCATACACACACAAATACACACATACACAGACACACACAAAGACACACAACCACACACAGGCACAGGCACACACACTTTTACACCCCAGATAGATACACACTCATACACACACATAGATACATATGCTCACACAGACACACACATAGCCACACACAGGCACACACAGGCACAGGTGCACACACACACACACACATTTTTACACCCCAGAGAGAGACACATACTCATACACACACATGCTCACACAGACACACACACAGCCACACACAGGCACATACACACACATTCTTACACCCCAGATAGAGACACATACTCATAGACACACATATAAACGCACATGCTTACACACACGCACAGCCACAGAGACACAGCCACACACACACACACACAGTCTGTCTCACACACACAGATTCTTACACCTAGATACATACTCATATATACATATATAGACACACAGAAACACACGTGCTCGTATATATGGACATAGACACATATATACATACACATAGACACACAAAAGCATACACAGACACACACACACAGGAGACACACAAACATGCACACACTCACATGCACAAACACAGGCACCCTAACTCACAGGGTCACACGTATGGGCACACACACCTGCTAGACACACTTAAGGAAACCGGCCCATGGCTGTGCATCAATGGAGACATGTCTATTCATCTCTAAGCTTGCCTCTTACCAACCCCTCTCCCCCTCTCCCCGTCACACGCTCTGCTCTGGCCTCACTGGCCTCCAGTGTCTCTGGAACGAATACATGAAGCATGTTTCCACCCCAAGAACTGTGCACTGTTCCCTGTGCTCAAAACAGTCTTCCACAAATGTCCACGTGACTCGCACCCTCTTCTTTCATTTTTGTTCCTCAACAACACCTCTCAGTCCGCTGGGCCTGGCCACCCTGTTAATATTGGAGCTTGGCAAGGCACGGTGGCTCATGACTGTAATCCCGGCACTTTGGGAGGCCGAGTCGGGAGGATCGCTTGAGGCCAGGAGTTAGAGACCAGCCTGGGCAACATGGTGAGACCCCATCTCTACTAAAAAGAGAAAAATTAGCCAGGTGCGGTGGTGCACACCTGTAGTCCCAGCTACTTGGGAGGCTAAGGTGGGAGGACTACCTGTGCCCGGCGAGGTGGAGGCTGCAGTGAGCTGTGATTGCACCACTGCACTCCAACCTGGGCGACAGAGTGTGGCCCTGTCTCAAAAAAATTAAAAATAATAAAATGAAATATAAAGGCTGGGCACAGTGGCTTGCGCCTGTAATCCCAGTCTTGGGAGGCCAAGGCAGGTGGATCGCCTAAGGTCAGAAGTTGGAGACCAGCCTGGCCAACATAGTGAAACCTCGTCTCTACTAAAAATACAAAAAATTAGCTGGGCGTAGTGGCAGGCCCCTGTAATCCCAGCTACTCAGGAGGTTGAGACAGGAGAATTGCTTGAACCCAGGAGGCAGAGGCTGCAGTGAGCTGAGATCACGCCATTGCACTCCAGTCTGGGCAACAAGAGCGAAACTCTGCCTAAAAAAAAAAAAAAAAAAAGAAAAAGAATAAAAAAAAAAAAAAATAAAATAAAATAAAATAAAGAAATAAAAATAAAATAAAATTGGAGGTAACTGGAGCTTCCCCTCCAAATCTACCCCCTTCTCGCTTTACTTTTCCTCTTTGGTTCTTCTCATCGCCCAGCATACTTTACCTGTTACCCAGGTACCTTGTCCATTGTCAGTTTCCCCCACTAGAATGTCAGCTCCAGGAGGGCAGGGGTTGTGTCTGTTTCGTCCCCTGCTGTGTCAGGATGGTCTGGCACACAATAGATGTGCCATAAATGTGTGTTGAACGAGTGAGTGAATGTGTGTTCAGCTGTGTACTTATGAGGATCCCTGGGCATAGGTGCAGAAATGTGAGCGTGTGTAATTCCACAGGGAAGTTCATGTATTGTGTCTTGACTGTTTTTTTTCTTTTCTTCTCTTTTCTTTTCTTTTTTGAGAGTCTCGTTCTGTCACCCAGGCTAGAGTGCAGTGGGATGATCTTGGCTCACTGCAACCTCCACCTCCCGGGTTCAAGTGATTCTCCTGCCTCAGCCTTCTGAATAGCTGGGATTACAGGAGCGCGCCACCACACCCGGCTAATTTTTGTGTTTTTTAGTAGAGATAGGGTTTCACCATGTCGGCCAGGCTGGTCTCAAACTCCTGACCTCAAGTGATCTGTCCGCGTCACCCTCACAAAGTGCTGGGATTACAGGCATGAGCCACCGTGCCCAGCCTTGAGTAACTGTTTTTGAGTGAAGGTGGATTGCCTTCACTCCCTAATGTGGTGGTGGTGGCGTTGGTATCACAGGTGTGCACACACAGAAGCACATACAAGTACAGAGACAAACACAAGAGACACAGACCTGCAAGCACACATAGATACCCAACACACACCGCTATACAACATGCATCAGTCCCCCTTTATCCGAAGTTTCACTTTTTGAGGTTTTAGTTACTCTTAGTCTAAAAATATTCAATGGAAAATTCCAGATATAACTCCTAAGTTTTAAATTGCACGCCGTTCTGTGTACTGTGATGAAACCTCATGCCATCCCACTCTGGTTGGCCTGGAACATGAATCCCCCCTTTGTCCAGCATCTCAGTGCTATAGCTGATACCTGTCTGTGGGTCACTTAGCTATCAGATCGACTGTCCTGGTATTGCAGTGCTGGTGTTCAAGAAACTCTTATTTTTCTAAATAATGGCCTGGCTGGGTGCTGTGGCTCACGCCTGTAATCCCAGCACTTTGGGAGGCCGAGGCGGCAGATCACTTGAGGTTAGAAGTTTAACCCAAGCCTGGGCAACATAGTGAAATCCCCATCTCTACTAAAAATACAAAAAAAAAAAAAAAGAAAAAAGAAAATCAGCCAGGCGTGGTGGTGGACGCCTGTAATCCCAGCTATTCGGGAGGCTGAGGCACGATAATCGCTAAAACCCGGGTGGTGGAGGTTGCAGTGAGCCAAGATCGTGCCACTGCACTCCAGCCTGGGTGACAGACCAAGACTCTGTCTTAAAAAAAAAAAAAAAAAGCCCCAGTGTGCAAAATAATGATGGCTGCAATTCGGATAGGCCAAAGAGAAGCCTTAAAGTGCTTCCTTTTAAGTGAAAAGGTGAAAGTTCTCCACTTAGAAAAAGATAATCAATGGCCGGGCGCAGTGGCTCACGCCTGTAATGCCAGCACTTTGGGAGGCCGAGGTGGGTGGATCACGAGGAGTTTGAGATGAGCCTGACCAACACGGTGAAACGCTGTCTCTACTAAAAATACAAAAATTAGCCAGGTATGGAGGTGCACACCTGTAATCTCAGCTACTCAGGAGGCTGAGGCAGGAGAATTGCTTGAACCCGGGAGGTGGAGGTTGCAGTGAGCGGAGATCGCACCATTGCACTCCAGCCTGGGCAACAGGAGCGAAACTCCATCTCAAAAAAAAAAAAAAAAAAAAAGATAATCACATACACTGAGGTAGCTAAGATCTACAGTAAGAAAACAATCTATCTGCGAAATTGTGAAGGAAAAAGAAAGTTATGCATAGTATACATAGGGCTTGGTATTATTCATTGTTTCAGGCTTTTGCGGGGGTCTTAGAGAATGTATCCTGGTGAATAAGGGGAACCCCTCAACACAGATACACATAGAAACATAGTCAGCCCCCCAACACACACACACACAATGTCTGTGCTAGGGTGTAAGAAGGATCAAGTTTTTCGTTTTGTTTTTTGAGAGAGGGTCTTGCTCTGTCACCCAGGCTGGAGTGCAGTGGCACAATCATGGCTCACTGCAGCCTTGATTTTCAGGGCTCAAGCGATTCTCCTGTCTCATCCTCCCGAGTGGCTGGGACTACAGGAGGCCATCACACTTCGCTAACTTTTAAATTTTTTTGTAGAGAAGAGGGGAGTCTCACTCTGTTGCCCAGACTTTTCTCAAACTTCTGGCCCCAAGCGATCCTCCCACCTCGGCCTCCCAAACTGTTGGAATTGCAGGCTGAGCCACTCCGTGCCTGGACCTGGGACCAAGTCTTGTAAGTGCAACTGCAGTTCTGCGTGTTGTTTACGCGTGTGCCTGTGCATCTGCGTCTGTGTTTCTGAGACGGTATGTTTGTGATCCTGCGTGTATCTGTGGATGGCGTGTATGTGCGTATGTTAAGTATCTGTGTGAGTGTCTCTCGTGTTTCCTCCGTGCGTGTACGCCTGTGTTCCCACCGCGTTCGCAAGGGAGGCTCTCCATCTGCAGACAAAAAGTTTCCTTTTGTCCATCAGCGGAGGGAGTGGAATGGGGCAAAGTCTGCAGAGGCCGGAAGCGGGTGGGTAGGGGAGCTCCTCAGTCGCCGCTTCCTAGGTGGCCGTACCCAGCCAAGGTCAGGTGCCCGCTCCCACAGCCCCCGCGCCCCGAAGGCCCCGCGCCCGCAGCCCCCGCGCCGCCGGGAGGAGAAACAGTACAGTCCCGGGCGGGCGGCCCGAGAGGGGGCGGGGAGCCTGGGTCGGGTCCAGCCACCTGGCACGTGGGGCCCCGCCAGGGTCAGCGCGCGGGAGCTGGAGAAGCCCTGGGGCGGGAGGTGGGTTCTGGAGCCGGGTCCCGTTCCGACCGCAGCATTCCTGCCCCCGCGTGAGTCACCGGGGGCACCTCCCCACCCCAGCGCTTCCGGCCGGCCGGCTTCGGGGGCGCGGAGCCAGAGCCGGGATACCCCTTCCCAGGCCCCAACGGCCGCACCTTGAGTGAAGGGAACAGGAGGAACTGGGACCCCTTCCCTTCCAGAATTCTCTTGCTTTACCGCAGGAGGACAGGAGCAGGCCGACTCCAGATGTGCTTTCCAGATGTCCTGACCATCCCCCCCAACCCCTGCTCTCCGCCCCAGCTTTTCCAGAGAATGAGAGGGATAGAAGGAGGAGGGGCACGCCCTGAGTCAGATAGAGGGACAGAAGCACACAAACGGACAAAATTCCTTCACACAGCAACCCCCCCAACACACTCACAATGACTCACACTTAAACACACAGGGGCTGTTATTAGCACAGAAAACGCAGCACTTGGTAAGTTAACAGCACACAGATATGCAAGGGCTGATGTCACAAACACAGTGACACAAAAACACCATGACTCACACATATACACACGGACTGACACTGATGTACGTTCATAAAGAGACATGTATGCATACAAGCCAACGTGGGACAAACACATCGACACACAGTCGCACGTATACACATTGATTACAAACACCTAGCAACGCAATATACATCTAGGCTGACGCCAACACACACAGAAAACTAAATGTCCCTGTATATTGAGAGACACACACCACGCAACAGCATACACGGAGTTGAGGTGGACAGACAGATGCACACCAGGACACAATGAAGGGTTATGGTGACCTGCTCAGACACAGACACACCGATGCGTACCAACACACAGCCTTCATCTATGCCATAAGATGGAGCTGGATGCACCCAGGTTTCATGTTCACCGAGACACAGACTGATACAAAAACACATTTGCGCTGGGTGCGGTGGCTCACGCCTGTAATCCTAGTACTTTGGAAGGCCGAGGCCGGTGGATCACTTGAGGTCAGAAGTTCGAGACTAGTCTGGCCAACAGGGTGAAACCCTGTCTCTACTAAAAATACAAAAATAAGCTGGGCGTGTCTGTAATCCCGGCTACTCAGGAGGCTGAGGCAGGAGAATCGCTTGAACCTGGGAGGCAGAAGTTACAGTAAGCCAAGCTCGTGTCACTGCACTCCAGCTTGGGTGACAGAGTGAGACTCTGTCTCAAAAAAAAAAAAAAAACAAACCCAAAAACCAAAAAACAAAGACACACAGTTTCATAGATGCGCTGGCTTGATGCAGACACGAGGATGGAGTCACTGCCATGGACACATAGATTGACACAGACACACATGTATATGCTGGCTGGTAAGCATCCTTGGGTCATGTACTCAGAGGCAGCAGGGGCCAGTGCACAGACAGGGAGACCAGAGAGAAGCAGAGGGGGCTGTTGCACACATACACATAGATCTGTGACGACAGTCATACACCAATGTGCCTTACCCTGTGACATATACACACATGCCACAGAGACATCTATGGACACACACAGAAAGCTGGTAAGAGGTTGAGGGTTGAGTGCAATGGCTCACGCCTGTAAATCCCAACACTTTGGGAGGCCGAGGTGGGGGGATCACTTGAGGCCAGGAGTTCAAGACCAGCCGGGGTAACATGGTGAGACCCCGTCTCTACCAAAAAATATTAAAATTATCCAGGTATGATGGCACATGCCTGTAGTCCCAGCTGCTTGAGGGGTGGGTGGGTGCCGAGGTAGGAGGATTGCTTGAGCCCAGGAGGTGGAGGCTACAGTGAGCCATGATCACAGTACTGTACTCCAGCCTGGGTTACATAGCGAGAGTTTGTCTTGAAAAAAATAAGGGAAAAAAAAAAAGCTGGTAAGAAACACAAGTTATCCATGGACACATGCTGATTCTGCAAGGGAACAGAAGCTCTCACTAGGACACGCTCACACCCATAGCTGCACACCTGTGGGCTGACACTACCACCTGCATACAGAGAGGTGTGCAGCATAGCCCCAAACCCACTACCCTCCATGCACACTTTACTTTCATACAGTGAGTCTCAGCTGTGAACACACAAACACAAAAAGAGGGACAGACACAGGCTGACACTGGTATACTCAGTCATGCACACATACATAGACACCCATACACGGGCAACCCCTAAGAAACGTATAGAGAGAGACATACTATGAAGATCCAAACACACACTGGGACAGAACCCAAGTTGAAGGAAATATACTTAGTCACACACACACACACACACACACCACACACACACACCACACATGGGACATCCACAGAAGCCCACCCTCGCCAAGGCACACCCTCACACAGAGGTTGTGCTGACGGATACACTAACACTCAGATCCAGAACACACGGATATCCAGACACCCCACCACACCACACAGACATGCACAGACCCTCACACCTGTGCAGCCCCCATTTCTCTCCCTTCCCTTCCCTTCTTATGGGACCTGCCAGGCTGACTCATGCCCCATCCCCGACCCTGGTCCCTCCTCAGGCACTCGAGCCATGGGCCTGAGTCACTCCTCTGGGGTCAGCATGCTCACCAGGTCTTCCTTGCAACTCAGGGTCCCAGGAATGCTAAGAATGTGAGCTCCTCCCTCCACCCTGGAGACCCCCAGCCAGGAGGCCCCTCCTCATTCCAGCAGAGAGAGGCAGCAGGTTGGGAGTGTGGGAAGCTGATGCCCTCAAGGCTGTAGCTTCCTTCCTCTATGGAGCCTCTGCCATCTGCTCCTCAGTCTTTCCTCCTTCAGTAGGGAGAACCCCCTGAGTCCAGGGTCCCCCAGTGATGCCTCTGACCACTGCGTAACCCTGAGCTCTGTCCTGCCTTGTCTGCCTGGTGCAGAAGGGAATGGTCACCAAGAAGGAGAGGGTTTCTGTCACTCAAACTTCCCTGTCCTGTCTTTTGTTTTGTTTGGTTTTTTGTTTTGAGACAGAGTCTTGCTCTGTCACCCAGGCTGGAGCGCAGTGGTGCGATCTTGGCTCACTGCAACCTCCGCCTCCTGGGTTCAAGCAATTCTCCTGCCTCAGCCTCCCAAGTAGCTGGGACTACAGATGCCTGTCACCACGCCTGGCTGATTTTTGTATTTTTGGTAAAGATGGGGTTTTACCATGTTGGCCAGGCTGGTTTCAAACTCCTGGCCTCAAGTGATCCACCTGCCTCAGCCTCCCAAAGTGCTGGAATTACAGGCGTGAGCCACCAGGCCCGGCCTCCCTGTCCTGTCTATGTACAACTTGGGTCACTGTGGCCTGTCCCTTCCAGTGTCTTTCTGTCTCTCTCTGTCTCCCACTTTGTTTTGTTTTGTTTTATTTTGAGACGGAGTCTTGCTCTGTCACCCAGGCTGGAGTGCAGTGGCGAGATCTGGGCTCACTGCAAGCTCCGCCTCCCGGGTTCACACCATTCTCCTGCCTCAGCCTCCCAAGTAGCTGGGACTACAGGCGCCCGTCACCACGCCCAGCTAATTTTTTTGTATTTTTAGTAGAGATGGGGTTTCACCATGTTAGCCAGGATGGTCTTGATCTCCTGACCTCGTGATCTGCCCGCCTAGGCCTCCCAAAGTGCTGGGATTACAGGCGTGAGCCACCGCGCCCGGCCTCTGTCTCCCACTTTCTTCCTGTTCTCTCTTCTTTGGGTTCAGTTTCCCCAGTGGGGACCGGGCTGGACATCCTCCCTTTGACCGAGGTCAGCAGGGCTTGTTAGGGCAGGAGGTGGGCCGGTTGTGGAGGGAGGCGGAGGAGAGGAGGGCACAGTTGATTCTGGTGCCCTGCTTGGGTCAAGGGCTGACAAAGGGGCACCAGGCCCACACACACTCAGGCCATGGAACAGCTCAGAGGGAACCCAGGACAAAGAATTCTATTCAGAGAGAGGCTGGGGTGAATGGAGGGAAAGAGAAGCAGAGAGACAGAGAAAGAGACACATGCAGAGAGAGACAGAAGGACACACACACCGAGAGACAGAAAGACCGAAAAAGGCATTCGGAGAGAAACAAGGTAAGTAGAGATAGAGAGGCAGAGACAAAGTCAGAGGGAGAAACAGAGAGACAGACAGTGAGGGACAGAAGGACAGTCAGACACCCACGCAGAGGTAGCAATGCTCCCTTGCTCCTGCCTCCAGCCCTGCCCGGCCCCCTGTGCAGAGCTGACCCACATCCCCGGACTCACCTGGAACATGCAGGTTGCGCTGGGGACCGTGACCTGGAGCTGTGGCCAGGGGGACAGCATCCTGGAGCCAGAGTAGGTCCACGGGCTCTGGGGGTCCCTGGGCTTGGCAGCTCAGGTTGAAGGGGGTGTTGGCGGCCACAGTCCTGTCCTCAGGCTCTTCCAGGAAGTAAGGCAGGCCTGTGGGGGTGGGCAGTGGTAGAGGCTGGGGTCCCTCTGAGCCCCCAAGATGTCTGACCCACACTAGGATGCTGTAGGCTTTGGGCAGCAAACTCACCCTGCAGGGTCATTGACCTGCCTGTATCTGATCCCCCGAGGGCACCTGAGCCATACCCAACACACGTGACTCCAATATCTGATTCCTCCCATGTCAAACCCCCCAAGATAGCTGATCTCCTCATGTCTTTCTTCCAGAATGTCTGACAGCTCATCCTCATCTCACTCTACAGATGAGAAAAATGACACCGCTGGGATCGTGGGGAGAGGGGTACGTTGCGTGCCTCTGATGCCTTATCTGATGCCCAGAATGGCGTCCTGTGACCTGATCGTGTCTGATGCTTAGGACATCCAACTACCCCCAAGAAGTCTCTTCACCCAGAACATATAATCCCCCCAGCCTTGGCCCCGTAACTTATATGGACTCCCAGCTTCTTGACCCCCCAAAACTCTGACATTCTTACTGTATGTCGCCTAGGGTCATCCCAAATCCTCCAGCACCCTTTGACCCCTCAGGATTCCTGACTTCCCGCAACCTGTGAGTGCCACACATCCTCTGACCCCTCAGGACCCCTGACCCCAGAGCTCACCCTCCAGCCCTACGTAGCCAGGCTGGGACACGAAGTTCTGATGTCCCAGAAACACCAAACACTGGTACTGTCCCGCATCGGAAAGCTGTAGGGAGGCGATTCTGACAGGGCAAGAGGAGAGACAGAGAGGTTCGGGGTCAGAGTTGGACACTGGGAGGGGGTCTGTCAGAACGGAAAGAGGGTGTCCAGCCTGGAAGCTCGTGACAACCACGAAGTAGCTCCTATTATTAACTCATTTTGCAGAAGAGGAAAACGAAACCTAGAGGTTCCATCACACACTCCAAGCCGCACGGCTGACAAGTGGTCAAGCTGGGGTTCCCACCCAGGTGGGCTTTCTGCCCCCTGCGTGACGGAGGTGAGGGTAGGATTTGGGGATATGGCCACATACCTGAGCTGGCTGACCACTATCCAGTCATCCTGCTCATCTTCACCCAGGGGCACCTGGGTCTGGGTGCTGTCCGCGAGCTCCAGGATCTGTCCGTCCCGAAGCCAGTGTACCTCGGGGGGCTCTCCCTGAACCTGGAGCTGACACCGAAGGGTGCCTGTGAGTCCCCGGGCACCTGTGATATTCCCTGGGTTACCCACAAAAGGACTTTCTTCAGCCTGTGTGCCTGCAGGGGAGATGGGAAGAGTTAGCTTAGGAACCCCCCAACTCCTTCTGGCCCTCAGTTCCACCCTGTCCCTGCCTTCCCACCGGCCGCCAGGACCCCGCCAGGCCCTTAGGCCCACATAGTTGCAGAGTGACCTCAGAGCAGGGTGGAGGGCGGAGGCTCTGAGGGGAGGATGGGAGTCCTCCCAGGGGACTGGGATCCAGCGTCCATCCCATCGGGAAGGAGGCTCGGGATCTGGCAGCCTCCCACGCCCTGCACTGCCTGGCAGGGCCAGCCCCTGCCCCCTCCGTCCTCTCTTAGGTCTCTAAAGACTTAACAGATCATGCTGGTGCTGGTGGATGGAGGGGAAAAATCAGGGGTCAGGGGAGGGAGATAAGGGTGGTGGAGAAGAGAGATAAGGGTGGCGGAGGAGTGAGAAGCCAAAGAAAGTCAGGCAGGGGAGACGAGACAGAGAGGAGCAGAGATACAAGGAGTGACAGAAAAAAATGAAGAAACAGCCCTCAAGAGAGAAGACAAGGTGGGGGCGGAGGGGGGATACAGTCACAGAGGGAGGCTGAGAAGAGAGAGAGACTTAGAGAGCAGGGAGAGAGAGAGGCAGAGACTGTAAGAGAGAGAAACAGAGACCCACAGAGATAGCAGAGCTGGAGGCAGAGACAGAGAGACGAAGTGAGAACCTCCTCCCCAGAGATGGCGTGGACTGGTGGGGTAGGGACAAGTTGGAGGGGGGTGTTGGCAGGGAGAAGGGTTTTCCCCCAGGGCTCCAGAGCCCTCCTCATCCCGCCGCCTGACTCGGTCCACTTGGGAAAGATTTCTTCCTTCTCGGCGACCCCCAGCTCAGCCCCTCTTCCCATGGCCCCCTTCTCAGGTCCAGCCCCCACCCCTGCCCTCAGCTTCTCCTTGTCTGTCTGTCTCTCCGGGTCCTCTCTTCCGTACCCCCTGCCCTTCAGTTCCTCTCTCAGTCTTTCTCCCTCTGTCGCACTTGGTGTCTCTGAATCTGTCTCCTTCTCTTGAAGTCCCTTTTCTGTGGTCCCAGGGAAACTCCCTAAGCCAGCCCAGGCCCCCCCACACCTGCCATCATCCCCCACCTCCTACCCCTGCCCCAGCTCCTCCGAGGGGGTCCCTGCCCCAAGGAGCCCCCATCACTCACCCCTGGGGGCCATGCACACCCAGCCGCACAGCGCCAAGCACCAGGCCAGCGGGACCCTGCCCATCCTGGGGCACCGCCACGCCATGGGTGCCAAACTTTCCTCAGAAGTTGTTGGGCTCCCAGCAGGGGAGGGGGCAGGGCCGGGCTGTCCCCGGCCCTCCCCCCAGCTCCGGGCTCTCTGGATTTGGCACTCACTGCCTGCCTGGCACAGCGGCAGGGGAGGCCCTCGCCACCACCGACTCTGCTCAGCAGCCGCCCTCTCAGCACCCCTGCCTCTTTCTCTCACTCCCAGACTTGGGCAAACCCTTTCTCCGCCCCTGGCTCCCCCTTTGCCTCCGCCCACCAGGGCCAGAGCCCAGGGGCCACCTGGACAGTCAGGGGTTAACTCAAGAGAGGAGAGGATCAGCCCTTTCTTAAAGGGGCCAGGGAGGGAGCTGAGGAGGGGGAAGGGGACCCTGGTGGCTGTGCCCCCAGTCCTGGGCCAGTGAGGCCGTGTCTCTCTATCCGGGCTCTGGGCGCTGTCCCTCTGGGCTCTGTGTCTGGTAAACATTCCTCCAGAACTCCACTCCCCTCTCAGCTCCTGCCGTGACGCCCCTCTCCCCGCCTCCACCCCCAGCCCAGCCCCAGCCAGGCCTCCTTGGCCCTTCACTCCCCCTCACTCTCACGGCTCCTCGGACAAGGACACACACACACACACACACTCTTAGACGTCATTGACACGCAGAGGCTAGGACAAGCAGAGACACGCAGAGAGACCCATACGGGCAGGGGCATGCTACTGGCCCACAGACACACAGACAAGCCGGGCCAGGAGCTCAATTCCTGGAGAAACCTCAGAGACAGGAGGACACTACTGGGTGGGCGTCCATGGGGGACACTTACTTAGGGAGACACAGATCTTCAGACACGCCAAAACCTGCGTGGACGCCTAAATGGGACACCAATATACAGGCGACACAGAAGGGGACCCAAGTTGGAATCCCAGTGCTACCACTAACTGTGGGCTACTGGCAAGTGACTGGCCTCCTGAGCCTCAGTTTGTCCATCTGTAAAATGGGAATAAGAATAGTTGTTGGCCGGCAGTAACTCACTCCTGTAATGCCAGCACTTTGGGAGGCCAAGGTGGAAGGATCACTTAAGCCCAGGAGTTTGAGACCAGACTGGTCAATGCAGCGAGACCCCCGTCTCTACAAGAAGTTTAAAAATTAAAACTTGAGGCCGGGCGCGGTGGCTCAAGCCTGTAATCCCAGCACTTTGGGAGGCCGAGATGGGCGGATCACGAGGTCAGGAGATCAAGACCATCCTGGCTAACATGGTGAAACCCCGTCTCTACTAAAAATACAAAAAAAAACCTAGCCGGGCGAGGTGGCGGGCGCCTGTAGTCCCAGCTACTCGGAAGGCTGAGGCAGGAGAATGGCGTGAACCCGGGAGGCGGAGCTTGCAGTGAGCGGAGATCTGGCCACTGCACTCCAGCCTGGGCGACAGAGCAAGACTCCGTCTCAAAAAAATAAATAAATAAATAAATAAATAAATAAATTTTAAAAAATAAAAAAATTAAAATAAATAAATAAATAAAAATTAAAACTTAACTGGATATCATGGCATGTGCCTGTGGTCCCAGCTACTAGGGAGGCTGGAGTGAGAGGAACACTTGAGTCCAAGAGATCGAGGCTGCAGCGAGCCCTGATCATTCCACTGCTCTCCTTCTGGTGGGATTGTGTATCCTGGTTGTTGCAGACCTGCTGCCTACGTATCGGCTCTGCTGCACCTCCATTTCTCTGCCCTGTGTGTTTGGCATGTGGAGGGCTCTGCATGTCTGGACGTCTGTGAGGAGGAGGCTGGGCATCTATCCCTCTGCTCTTGGCCACCTCTGTTTGGGTACTGGTATCCCTATGGTGCATCGTAAAGTCCTATCTGTTTGACCTGATGTGTCTTCTACCTGCCCCTTGCCAGCACCC